ACAATGAGGTTCTGGAGGCCAGGACCACACGAGGGTGTCCACAGGGGGGTGTACTCTCTCCTCTTCTCTGGAACCTTGTTGTGGACGACTTAATTAGATCTCTCAGTGATAGTGGTGTATTCGTTCAAGGATACGCGGACGACATTGTGATACTAGTTATGGGTAAATTCAACAACACGGTCTCCGACCTCATGAACACAGCCTTGAGGTCAGTTGGACAATGGTGCACTGAGGTAGGCCTTTCTATCAACCCCTCCAAAGTGGCGGTTATCCCCTTCACGAGGAGGCGCGATCTAAATGGCATTGGACCTCTGAGACTACAAGACACAGTGCTTGAAATGCAGAATCAGGTAAAGTACCTGGGGGTGGTATTGGACCGAAAGCTGCAATGGGGGCCACAACTCCAAAAGGTCATTGATCGAGGTAAGTGGTCACTCATGGCCTGCAGACGCATGGTGGGAGGAACCTGGGGGCTCAAGCCGGCGCTCATGCACTGGCTATTTGTCTCCGTGGTAAGGCCCGCCATGACATACGGCTCACTCGTGTGGTGGCCCAAGATGGACTCAGTGTCGGCGGTGAGAGATCTGGCTGCCGTCCAAAGACTCGCCTGTCTCATCATCACGGGCGCAATGAGCAGCTGTCCGGGAGCCTCACTGGACTGCCTTCTCAACCTCACTCCGATTGACCTTCATGTCAAGGTCACTGCGAGGAGGACTGCCTACAGACTCCAGTGTGATAACCTTTGGTTGGATGTTGGAGGATCCCGAGGTCACTCTCGGATCACTCAGCAGGTAAGAGGGGAGGTAATGGACATGCCCTCGGATCACATGCCGACTCGATTCTTCTTCGCCAGACCATTCACTGTCCTCCTTCCGTCCAGGGATGAGTGGATGTCCGGTGGGAATCCTCTTCCACAAGGCGACCTTGAATGGTATACTGATGGTTCTAAGGTAAGAAGTGGGACTGGGGCTGGAATTCATGGAGTGCAGAACGGGGTGGACATTTGTCTTCCTATGGGCACTCACCCAACTGTGTTCCAGGCCGAAATGACTGCGATTATGGTATGTGCTAGGGAAAACCTGAGGCTAGGCTTCAGGGACATCAACATTTCCATTTTCACAGACAGCCAGGCTGCGCTCAAAGCGCTTGATTCCTATGAATTTAATTCTAAGGTGGTCTGGGACTGCCTTTCTGCGGTATGTGACCTGGGCAGGCGCAACAAGGTAACGCTCTGTTGGGTTCCTGGGCACTCAGGGATAGAAGGGAATGAGGTGGCTGACAGGCTAGCAAATGCCGCGTCAGCCTCAGACTTCGTGGGACCACAGCCTTTCTGTGGAATCTCTCGTGGGCATGCATGTCACTCAGTCATGGCATGGGCTCAGGAGGAACACAGGAAAAGATGGGTTAGGCTTCAGCACCATAGGGTAAGTAAGCTCACCCTCTTCTCTCCTTCCCAGACGGTCGCCTCCAATGCCCTACGCTTGGACAGGAGGCGACTCAGACAGATCACAGGAATGGTCACTGGACATGGCTTTCTGAAATTACACCTGCATCGCTTGAGGATCCACAATGGTGACACTGCGTGTAGGAAATGTGGGCAATCAGAGGAGACTGCTGATCACCTACTCTACGACTGCACAGCTCTGAATGAGGTAAGGGACAGTACTCTTGGTGTAATGACAAGGGGCAGACACCTTCCTCAGGAGGAGCTCATTGACAGGATGCTTGAGTTCATTAAGCAACTCAGGTTTGACGGACTCTGAAGTACCATGTGGGGAGCGCAAAAAGCCCATCAGTGGCTGACGTGCAATAGGACAAGGTCCGCCCCTACAGAATCAATCAATCAATCAAAGAAAATTATTTCCGTATCAATTAAGTGTTTTAAGGCGTTAAAAATATTAGAAAATGCCCATTTTGAACTTTATTGTGAGCATTCACGTTAGCTAGAATAGGACGATCATTCTTGTTTTAAATTGATCGTAAACCTTTTATCGGTACAATACTGCTGTATATTGACTGTATTGAAACAGTGTGGAATGGAAAGTTAGCTTTCACTTAGGATGTAAAAAACAGACCTCATCACTAGTGGATTCATTGTTTCTGAGGTGTTGGTGTGGTTTTACTTCAAAAGCAGTCTTCTTCAATCTTCACAAAAAATACTTATTGAATCAAAATAGTCCATTGCTATTAAAGGATGGTTTTGTTTCGTCCATTACACTGTCTATCTTATGTTTTATCTTTGAATTGAACATACTGTAATTTTTATTGGGCCGTAACTTTTCTGACTGTTTTCTGTTATTCTTGGTTTCATAGTCACTCAAGATAACCTGATTACAGTTTTAAACTAAGTAGACTTTTGGTACCTATTTGAGCTATTTCCAATTAATATTTAATATTTAATGGCCAGTTATATCATTGACTAAGACAACAATTATTTCCTAAACGTCTAAAGATCACAAAATCAAAGCACATGTCAACAACATCAACTTACAAAACAACTGAGTGTTATTTATTACCACAGACATTAATGTTCAACAATTCGTATGTTATAAATCTACAACATTAAAAACTAATGACTTACCTAAAAAGACCAATGATTGAGACTGATTGATGAAAAATTAATGTATACATGTAATATAGTAGTGTAAATACAACAAATAGGGAAATTAAACAACAGGGTTTCAAACAGTTTTAGGGGAGGTTTAAGATAAACCTGGGTAAAATCTTCATTCAGTAGGAGGCAGTCAGATCGAGCACAAAGTTAGAAAATCAAGCTATGCTTTTACAATTGCAGATGTAGACGATATAGTTTCCGTTGTCGTGGGAAAGATGATGATATTCCATGACCACAGGATATGTTCAGCATTTACGGAGATTGCAGAAGACGGTGATGATGTTTTTGTGACTACAAAATATAATCACGGTTTTGCCAATGAAAATCAAGGAGGACGATGATTATATTAGTATACCTTAATTATTAGTATATCTTGTCTTAAGGATACCATTAACCTGAAGACAAGAGCCAAATCCAAGAATATTAAAAAGGAAACTTAAAGATTTTATAACGACTAAAGCATTGTATAATATACAAGAATTTCTTGACCCAGAGTTCAATTCAAAACCTTCTGGGACTTGAAGGGCTTATGGATGTGTAGAATATTTTATTGCTTTCTTATTTTACTTATGATTGTTAATTGTTTTGTTGAGAATCTCTATTGTAATAGTATAAATAGCCTTCTTTTTATGATAAAAAAAAATGGTAGAAATAAGTTAGAAAACAGTTTTAAGTTATAATAAAGAATCACTTTTTGACACTGTTCAATGTACTGTAAATATGTACTAAAAGAATAAAGATTGTTTGAAATGAAATGACCTTGGGAGATCTCCCGGATTTGGCCGCAATCGCGGAAGACCATGACGATGTTTCCATCACTATGGGGATATTCAAGATTAGTCCCTGATCGCAGAAGATGATGATGTTGTCTTCACAACTAATGGATATGATAACAATTTTTACAATATTTAAAGATCGCGGATCGATTGTGATAACATCGAGATAAGTCCAAATTACACCAAATTCATGATGGACAGAAAATACTGTACTTAGGGAGTGTACACAAACCAAGAGCTCTTATATCCAAAATAAATATCAAATAATACTATCAAGTCTAAAATCAATAACTATCCCAATTAATAATATTCTTATTGGGGAGCGAGCTGGCGTAGTGGTTAGAGCGCGGGACTTCAGTCCCTGAAGTCCCGGGAATGGATTTTATCTAAGTGATAATGCCGCAACCCCTAGGTCTAACCTGAAGTAATGTAAATACAATCCCAGGCTCGTGCCTAGCGTCCTAGGAAAAAAATAATAATAATAATATTCTTATTCAGATGCAGACATTCATTATTAACAAATAAATGACTTTGACTTATAATTTTTGGTTTGTTTTTGCCATTTTCAACAAATACAGCATCTCATTTATCGAATTACCTAATTAGTAGAATTTTTTCAGGTTAGTGGCAACTCTAATCAACATAAAAGATACAATTTCCTTAACCAGAGAGATTTGTGGTTTTTAGATAAGATAAGTTTTTTGGTTAGAGTGTTCTATTTATCACCATAAAACAATGAACAGGATGAAAAAATTCAACTGCAAAGCCTTAAAATTTAACTAATTTTAAATAATAATTGCATGAATTATGTTTTTACTAAATCAGAATAGCTGCATAGCAATCTTAGGCGTAGGCCTACGGCTCATTGAATTGAACAATTGCTAAAAATTCATGTCTAGTGAATGGTAAATCTTGTGAATACTTTCTATCGTGATTCATCATGTTAAATACTACCGGGGTTGAATAAAAAATCTACGATGATCAAAAACCAACATTCAAACACAGGCCCACATTCAGGGGGGGGGGGGGGTGGACATTGAAGCAGACTTTGTGGCACACTGAATGCTTTCTCATTCCAAATGTATTTTTACTCAAGGTCAGTACATTTATCAGTAACCATTCCTAAATAAATACCCATTTAAGCATAGCTTAAAGAGTAGGTACTAACAAATAAAAAATCACACTGAATTATGATTGTAGCAAATGTTTCACACTTCTTTTATTCTTGGAATTAATTATTTCAACAATTTGTATACGATTTAGTTATACTTATTAATAAAAATGCATGTTATGAACATGAGCTAGAAGTTAATCATCATACAGAAAAAATTATATTTTTACAAACTGAAAATCTACCATTTGAAAATAAAATCAGTAACCATTGTCATGAATGATACAAAATAACATGGACTGTCAAAATAAAATATGATTTACTTCAAGAAAAAAAATATTACATTCATCTGTAACCTTTATGATCAGTAAAGTAACCCTGACGACAAAACATCCTTTGTCTTAGTATCTTAGTTACCTACATTATTTTGGACCATATTCACATGGTGGAATGAGAAAACAGCCACATCACACAGTATGAATATAAAAATATTACTCACTAGTGCCCGGGTTGGCCTCGTTGGTGAAAGAAAAAAGAAGTAGATCAAGCAGATCGGGGGGAAGGCCCTCCCCTGAAAAAACTAGAGTTAATGAAAACTGACCGAGCATTTCAGCAACATAGCACAAACCATCGAAACAGCCGTTGTCCAGTAACGTGGAGGTATTTTAAAAGTAAAAGCTACTCTTTTTTATTACTTTTATCTTTATTTTGAACTGTCTATGTGGGGTACCAGCAACAAAATCAATTGTATTTATCGACAACTGAAGGAGCGAGCAGCTCTGAAATTCTTCATGTTTATTTGCGCATTTTCGAGTATTTTTGCCAGTAAGGTAAGGCTGCTGTTTAACCTCCATTACAAAATCTTCAAATACCCTGGCCTAAAAGATTTACTAAAATTTTTTTATAGATTAACATCAAAAGAATAACATTATCTACTTAAAAAGTTTTACCTGTGTTTGATCAAAATTGCTGAAACTATACTATTTCACCAGTACATTCCAATTCCAGTGGTTTTAGAATAAAAATTAGGGGGAAAAAACTTATAAAAAGCGCTCAGGAAAAAAGGTGATATTTTTATTTAAGCAATTGAACTACGTCTTAAAGCTTCTACATTAAATAACTTTGAAGATAAATGATGATTTTAAAGTAAAACATGTGGTGGCTATGTCGCAGCAATACTCTTGGCCTTTCATGCATCAAGATCACGTCACACTACAAGACTAGAGAGAGTTCCACTAACTTTGAGAGAGATTGAGAACCATGCGGAAGGCCAACCTTATCAACCGACTCAGATAAAACTCATTGTACCAGTGGCCAATAATAAAAAAAAGAAGAATAGTGCTGAAGACAGTGCTCATAATAATATTATCAACACCTAAAATCAAACAAACATCTTTAACTCTACACTACACTACGCTATGTGCATCAAAAGCTAACAAGTGCTTCAAGCGTAAGCTGCTACTAACAGGCCCTAATTTATTACTCGGCTTTTGATAAACCCATTGACTATGGAAACCATTAGAGAGTAGCAAGAAAGATATAAACATTCCAAATATGTGATATTAAACTAGTTTACGATACAGTGTTGTCTGACAGGAAATCAGTCACAAGTAGGCTATTATTTTGAAAATGCGTTGTCTACTTTAGTATCCATAGTCAATAATATAAAACAGGTAAGTAACTCTATTTATACGGTCTAAAATCAATCCTGGAGGCAATGTTGAATAAATCAATAAGAAAACACAACAATTATATTTTTCCAATTTACTGTTTTTGGTGCAATAGCTTATTTTTAAAATAACTATCAACATCAACAGATAAAGCTGTAATGGGGATAAAGAAATAAGTAAGTACTACCTACTACTTACCTATTTCAAGTAGGGATCATCCAAAAATTTCAAATTATTTTGTTTACAAGTTAATTCATATGCAACAAAATACAATTCAGAATATTCAGATTCCTTTTTAAATACATTTCCAAGGTCTAAAATTTCAAGCTCATAAAAAAAAACCAATGAACATCACAGTTCTAAGCAATCAATACGCATAGCCAAACTTTATCAAGTCTTCACAATTCCGAGTAGGATGAGTAGGTCCGAGTAAGTTTTCCATCTGCCTTAAAACAGTTTTACCTAAGCTATGTATGTTTATTTATTTTGTAAATTCAAGAAACAGCATATTGGAATAAAGTTATTAAGTCATGATAATTTTTTGAGTTATTCAAATGTTTTAATTTTTATTTGACTATATTTAGAATGGCTGACTGTAGTTCAATAGACAACTTTTAAATAATTTTAAATACTATCTTCATGCAGCACACTATGGAGGTTAGGTTTGAAATTAAATACCCTTACAAACAGGAAAACCTTACTTCTAGCAGGGAAGGAATTTCTGTACATATATGTGACAGATTAAATGAATTTACGATTTACGTAGGTCAACCCTTGCATATTGAAAAAACGAATGAGTGGAATTTTGATATTTATGGGAACCAAGCATACTCAAAGTTATTGTATGATTGTATTTAATCTGAGCTCGGAATCATCTAGGCCTATTTCAATATTAAGTTATACTCCAACTTTAAGCACAGCCCAAAATTATGAAAATACCTAAAAAGTAGGTGCAGCAAAGAAACTCTACTAACTTAACTCAATAATCAACCTCTTACAAATAATAATTTATTAAATAAATTATACTCTTTCGGATAAATTATTTGTCTGAGATTTTTTTTCAGGTAGTTCACATTATGTTGTTATAAAAAAAATACTTGTATTGCAGAAGTTTCTAAACTTCATATGAACATTATTGACATATTTTATGACCATAATGGACCCTAGTTCAAGATATTTACTACTAAAAGTTCAACTAAAAGCAATTCTTGATAAATTGACACATCCTTGAAATAGTAGACTTGTGCTTCATAGTTTTAGTATTTTGTAAATTTAGAAATAGAGGAAGAAAAAATGTCAAGTTTTAGAGCTTGTCTGACCAAAATATTTACAGTAGGCTTTAGACAATATCGAGATGTGTGATCGAGATGTCGTCCAATTAGCTTTTGTAAAGTAAACCGACCATTTTTGTAAAAATATTATATGCTTAGTGTCAGTGGTTGAATTCTTGAAACTGAGAAGATGGAACTATAACATTACAGGAGTTAAGGGCCCCTACACTTAACCTCCTTTGGCCCCCTCCCACCCTTACTCTCTTGTTTAAAACCCTACTAAAACAAGAATAAATCATATTTATGAATTTTTATCCAATTGCAATTGCTGCATCAGTGGAATTTACAGCAAACTGAACCAAAGCCATATCCTTCATTTATCGGGAGCACCAGCGACACACAAGTAATCAGTGTGTACTGGAGGATGACTACAGCGCTGACTGGTGCTGTTAGTGGGGAACTGACCTTCTTTGGATGTTTTGGTGTTGGCTCTCTCGTGCAGAATCCGTCTCTCCTGGAGAGCTCTACTGGGTATCAGTCCAGCTCTCATATCTCTGTCTCCCTCTTTCCTGGCTTGCCACCTGTCAACGTGTTTCAACATTTTTAGCATTTTAATTAATGACCATATTAAATATGTCATAACCATGAGAATTGAAAACCAAATCTTGGAAGGTCCTGAAGGACCTTGCGAAAAGGTGAAAAGGACGGCCCAGGAAAGTTGGAAGCAGTTTTGAAATAGACACTTGAAGAAGAGAAACGAGTTGGGAAGGTGGGAAGAAAATTGAGACACTGTGCTAGCAAGTCCGCACAAACATACAACTAAACCGCTAAATACCCCCGTCACAGTAAACTAGCAGAATAAGTGAATTCCCATTTGTCTGCTTGGATTTTAACTAAAATATTTCCTTAAACTTAAAAGTCGGATGTATTCCTTATTTAAATAACATTGGATTTAACGAATAGGCTTACTTAGCTTTGCAATTACAAGGAAGGAAAGTGTTCTTTGATGGTTGTAATGAAAATTGGGCATTTTTATGTGTTAAGGGATAGCACTTGAAAAAATACTTTTATTTAATTTCAAAACATAATAACAAGCATAACACTATTCCTAACACCTAATTTTATGTTGTAGAGTTAAACTCTACACATTCATGCCAAGTTTCACCAGAATCATATCAAAATACTAGGGTTATCGTCTTTATAGACACAGACAATAGTTCTCTTGCTGTGTGAGTACCCTGATGAAGTTTGTTCATTGAGAAAAGCATGGAGTCTGCTGTCTAGAGTACGGTACATATAGTCAACGATATAACTACATTCATCCAGATCAATTGGGACAATACGCCGTCCGGATAATCAATAATCCAAAATATTTGGATTTTTCACGAAGACAGATTACAGGGATTGGCACTAGGCAAGACAACTGATTGCTTATAGAACGATACGACACTGCAATAGACAAGCAGTATGGAAAAAAAATGCCTAAATAATTTAAATAAAGAATTGCCGTACACTGCAATTGACTTAATTTTTCTGGCCAATTTTTTTTTTTTCTTGAGGAGATCTGGATCATCTAGCTATCACGAGTACCGGTAGGAACATGTGTCTCCTACCACTTCTGTAGCGTTTGCTTCTGTCCCACTCCCTCACACTCACACTTACCAGTACGCATCATCCTGGCTGACAATGTGTAGAATGTCTCCTTTTCTGAAGTCCAGCCCAGCCTCCTTGCAGGGGATGTAGGGGTCGCTGAAGGCGAAGTAGTCAAAGTGTGCTCGAACCCTGACCTTGCTCTCTCTCAAGCCCAACCGACCCTCTGCTGGGACCAGCTTGAAGGTGATGGTACCTTCTGATGCTTGCTGCAGGCACATGGTAAACAGTGTTTCATGTATCATTAAAATATTGAATCTTGGTTTACATTTAACAAAATTGAAGATTCTCTTTACTTGATAAAGTCTCCATCGGACGAAATATTGTGTGTTATTGTGTTCTATAATAGCCTGTACTTTTCTAAGGTAAGCTAGCTGCTATAACTTTATTATCCAAAATCCTGGCCTAGAATATTTCTTAAAACTAATAATACTATTTCAATGTAATAGTCTTACTTGTTATAAAACATACCAGTATCTTAAGCACGTCGTTGGGTGTCTTGCCCTCAACGTTGATGTTGTTGACTTCCACGACCTCGTCGCCCACATGTATGAGGCCTGAGCGGTCCGCAGCGCCTCCGTGCATCACTCTCGCAATCACTATCTTGCCTGTCTCCTCGTCTGTCTTGATGGTCGCTCCCTGTAAGACTTAGTAGTAAGACGGATGATAAGAGTTTAACTGTGTTCTGTACAACTAATTATGTTTATAACTACAACCATCCGTTTAAACCCTCCATTTGCAGCATACATACTACAAATTTTAAATACAAAAATTGAATTCATTATCTGATTCTTTTCTAATTTCCTTTTCCGTCTGGTTCTTTTCTCTAGTATATAATTTCTCATAATTTGATTTTGTATGAAGTAAGCACTACAGCCTAAAAGCTGAAATAAAGAAAGAACAGCCAAATAACTATCTTCGTTTAGTAAGATAAAAAATAAACTCACCCTTACTTACACACAATGGCAAGACAATTGCCATTATTGTAACATTCAACAGACAGCTGATTTTATTAAACTCGAGCTGATCACAGGGAAAACTAATCCAACAAATTATAAGCAAGTCAGCTGATATTTTCTGAGAAAAAAGTTTATGGTCTAATTTTCCTTTTCTACTTGATTTTTTTTTATTTTGCTATTCAACAGACATTGTGTTTGCTCAATAAATAACTTATAGGCCTAAATAAACTGCAATAAATAATGATAACAGACGGTAACCTCATTCCATTAAAAACATCCTATGGTGACTTAAAATAGTTTAACCTTGAAACTTACAACAATTGGTTCAGCACTTTGTGCTCCAGTCTTTGGCAGCATCAACAAAAAGCATCAATTTGTTAAGTCTGTATTTTCTAGTCATAAAATTTATGTCAAACCCAACTTATATTCTATGGAAGGAAATAATGAAGTTTTATCAAACAACACACTTTTTTATATTATTTGCCACAGTAAAATCCCTGGCATTAAAGTAACTAATTAATTAATTTTGGCATTAAAGAAAACAACTTAGCAATTAAACAAATAATAATGAATATTTTAAGAGATTTTCCAGACTTGATGAAGTAGATAATTTGATTTTAATCTTATACAATAGAAAATATTTACTTTAAATACATTTGTTCTACAGTGTGGAAAATAGTTCTTTGGATATTTACCCAAAGAATTCGCATAAATCCAAAATCATAGAAACTGTCAAACTGAACAAAACCAACTAAAATTACTTGCCAGAGAGTCTGTTGACTTTATACCTCTAAGTTTTCTTGCTTATCCTAACCCAAATTTGGATTTGAAATAGAATAGATACAAGCTAATAACAAATTAAATTCACCCAACTTATATTAAATGAGACAATACAAGTAAAATGTTTGAAAGTGGGCGAATTATTTTGGACACAAAATCAAGTGAAGGGTACATTGCCTAACTTAGGATTTCAAAATTGGTTTAAATACAATTTTCTAAAGAACAAAAATTACAGATTTTACGTCTTAATATGAACACTTCCATTCCTAAATGAAACTAAAATCGATCAGTAGTGTTCTGACTATTCCATAAGTAAATTACCATTCATTTAAGTTATAGGTTACTTGTTTTTGTGGATAACTTACCAAGGGCTCATTACTTTTAACTAGCTGAACAATCTTGATTGTCTCTTCATCCTCATCAACTTCAAGAGGTATTTCCGGAAGACGAGGAAAATAGTCTTTCTGTGCGACCGCGTCGTGAGCACATAACAGACCCTGAAAACATGCACGGGTAGATTAGGCACTGTCCTTAAGTCATTGAAGTCATTTCCATGTTTAAGTTATATCCAGTTTTAGAATTAAAATGAAGTAGTTTTTCAAAGATTCAACTAAATAGCTGCTGACATATTAATTACTCCTACCGTTTTCTATTGTAAACTTTAACTTTAACCAAGTGAAGCCAAAAAGACGACTTACTGAAACCTATAAGCTTTCCTGTTATATTAATAATCAGAGCATTGAAACTCGTAATAAGTAATAATAGGGAATGCATGAAAAGGATGCACAAATCAAAGACTATTGGCTTATACCACTATACTACCATACCATTGTACCATAATTGATCTTAACAAAAAGGTATGATATTGTGTGGATGTGATTTTACAGTAGGGCGTCGTAGTTAAATTACATTATCTATGTCAAGAAGTCAAACAGGCTCTATGTACAGGCAAATTTCCTTTCTTCTTTCTTGTTTAGCAATATTTTAATTTAAAGACTTTTGTACTCAATGGTACGTTCTATGAAACGTTTAAAATGTTGTTTGCTTTTGTAAACACTCTAAAAGAAAATAACTGTTTTGTCTGTGGTACTTCACTTGGACAGTTAATTTTTCACCTAAACTGAGTAGGTATACAGTTAAAAATGCAACACAGCTATACCTTGTCCTTCTTTGTAGTTTATAAAACAAAATAATCATCTAAAAAGCAAATTTACACAGGCCTATCAAATATATTTTACAAAAATAAAAGATCGAGAGCATTTACCTACCTGCAAGTGTGGTTTTTGTAGTAGAATAAATAACTCTTTACAATCTTCGCTCAGATTGACTCTAGGTAAAATGACATCGAGGACTTCTAAGGCGATTTGCATGGAGCTAGATAGGATCGGGTGAAATTTTTCATCTTTGCCATTGTCAATGATTTTGTTGTGCACTTTTACCAGGGCATGGAGTTCTTTGGATTGCAGCAGCCCGCTCAAGAAACCAAACTCTTCTTCCGAACTTGGCAAGTTTTGTTTAGACTCTTCTAGTGCCCCCAGCAAACCAGATAATGCTGAAAATGTATTTATATTTATTTACCTATTATTAAATTGAAATATTCTTACAGCGATCGGAGGTAACTCTCAAGCTCTTAGATTGAGCTATTTAAATTATTATCATTACCTAACAGCATAACTGAATCACTAGTCATCACATGATTGGTTTACAGTTTAAACCAATTAGCCTACATGAAATCAGCCTAGTAAAAAAAATATAAATGTAAAATTGATTTAGTATCTTAATGCAGAATGAGCATTATTTTACAGCTTATTTTCCATACTTTCTATCTGGAAGTATGATAATACCCTTAAGTTAGTTGTCATAGTGAAACCTATGTAAGGTAGGCATACCATTAACTTTTCCTTCTGAAAACCTCTAGCAGTCAAAAACTGTATATTTCATCACTAGGGGGTGAATCGACTCTTTTCAACCCAAGCTCAAGTTTTACGATCAAGGCGAAGCCGAGGTCGGAAAATACGCAAGGTTTGAGAAGACACTTTTTGCCCGTGTGATTAACTATATTTCTCATCATATTGCACTGTTATTTAAGCTAACTAAGTTATAAAGGCTATAATATTTCAAAGTGACTATTCACACGTCAAACTGACGTCACAACCCGTTGCAGGTCCAGTTCTAGTATTACGAAATAATGCAAAGGGAACAGTTACTTTTTTCCACAATTCTATTCATTGGCTCTCGAACACCATTACTTCAACGATACGGAGATAGCCATTAGCTTCGGTGGTCTAGTGGATAGCGTACCAGGCTCGTAAACCGAAGGTAGCTGGATCGAATCCTAATGGAGAAACTAACATTTTGTCAAAGATTTAGCTTAGAATGCGATTAGGTAGGGGGCCTACATCTTTTGTTAGAATTTGATGCATTTATAATTTTATTTTATGAACAGAACTATTTTTTCAATTAGCAAACCTTCATTTGATTTTTTCATCATCAGCTAGTTTGGTTAGGTTACGACAGTTTAGTTTTGTAATTAAAATAGGTACTATAAAATTAATTTTATATTTTTACTTAACTTTTTGATTAAGTATGACCATTGACTATTGGATACTGGACGTCATGGATCTATGGACCTACAATATGACGTTTAGAACAGTCTCATTTCATAATCAATAGGCCTATTTAAGTTGCGGGCAGAAAACGTGAAGATTATTCCATCCATTTCGGCTAATGAGGCTTAAGGTACTACTGTTCCTAATCCTAATACTAGGTTTTTTTTGTGTGCAACCTGTTCCTAAACAGTTATATAAGTAACTGGATTTGGAACGTAATGTGGCGCCATTCGTCTGATGTGCGAATAGATTCTGCCAAAATACTTTTTATGTAAAGATGATAACTTCTCAAAACCACTTCCAGCTTGTTTTTTACTTATGAGTAAAGAACACTTATATTTTTTATTTTTAATAATAACAAATAATGAACAGTGAAAGTTAGATAATAATTTTCACTAGATCAAGTTAAACTATGATGCTATTCTTTCTTGTTGTTTTTATTAAATGTTTACAATTAGTCATCCTGCCTGAGTTTTGTACTTCTTTTATTTGTTATAGGTATGTAAAATGAAAGTCTGTTGAGATAAATAAATAAACAGCCGACTTTTACTACCTAGACACTAAAAACGCTTATAGAGCTGCTATTGACACATTTATTGAAAACGGTTATTTTTAATGCAGTACGGTATGACAAAAAACACCATTAGCCTTTTTTTTAGGAAGAGGAGGGAAAATTATTTTACACACACAGGTAGCCAGCCTGTAGTGTGAGACTCCTGAATCTATCAGACTACTCACTAAAAAACCCCCTCTAGGTACTCTGTTGGACACGGACCTGGGATTGTTTGTCACATTACTTCAAGTCAGGCCAACATGTGACCTGAGCCTTCTTCAGATCTCTCACCGTTTCTAGCATTTAGATTCTTTATGACCTACCCCGCATCCCAGTCAAGATCGAGCTTCTTGGCGCGGGGAATACCCTGGATGTAATGTGACACACAGGTTCAATTGACCTCACCCTCCGTCATCATCGGTATAACCGTGTCCACTGACAGCAGTCCTAATAACTGTTGAGCTTCCAGGCGGGGCCTTTCCCAGTTAACGCTGACAGTAAAAAAAGGTATGTTCCACGTCATCGGGAATGCCTGGGCATAAAATGCAATTGGGTGACACAGCTTTGCCCATCCTGAACAGGTACGACTGGAAAAAGCCGTGACCCTTCAGAAATTGCGTGAGGTAGAAGTCCACCTCTCCACACCGCCGATTAACTCAAGGTTGGACTTCCTGTATCAGTCGCCTGGTACAGCGTCTCCTGTTCCCATCTCTCCTGCCACAGCTGGTAGGTGCGGGTGCGTTCCTCTGTTCCTGCCTGGTCCTCCCCACTGCACTGATAAATTGCCTTTCTCTTCGCCGCCAAAAGTTTGACTGGGATCACTCCAGCAACCACCAGGACAGTGGGTTCGGACACTGTCCACCATAACCCCAAGGTAGGGTCCTTTTTGGAAGTACAAACGGTCTGGACTTCGACGGCCCCCGCCCTCAACGATGGTGTCAATATTCAATTTTTTTTATCACGATATCGGTGTTAATTAAAGCGAGCGAGAACCCCTGGTCTGTCATCCATGCGTTAATGGTACGCATAAGTTTACAACCGAACTTAGCCTACTCATAAATAACCAAAATAAAAACGGCTATACACATAAGTTAAAGCCAAGTGTTATATAAGTTAAGAGACTTTCTATTACGTAGGCTAACTTAGGCTACCTACTAAGTATTTTACCTGGATACTTTTTACTACTTTTTACTGGATACTTTTTTTACGTTTACCTGGATCCCAGTTTGTAGAAGCCATAACTACTGTCATTCTCTCAGTCGAAAGTTAATACTGGAAATGATGGTTTCTGCCTCTGAAATCATATAACTTAAAGTCAATATAGATTTAACTTAAGTTAACACGTTCCCTAATGACTGTCACACTTCTCTGTAACTGCGGGATGAGTATACTTGGTAGCTAATGTGTTAACACGTTCCCTACCGACCGTCACACTCCTCTGTAACTGAGGGATGAGTATACTTGGTAGCTAATGTGTTAACACGTTCCCCACAAACCGTCAAACTTCTCTGTAACTGAGGGATGAGTATACTTGGTAGCTAATGTGTTAACATGTTCCCTACCGACCATCAAACTTCTCTGTAACTGAGGGATGAGTATAGTTGGTAGCTAATGTGAAGTTAATAATGTAGCCTATAGGTGTATTGTAATTTTGATACAGTAAATTACTGTTTAGACTTATCGTAAGTAACTTAGGATCACATTGAATTTTACTTTGAAGCAAAACAATCTGAGTTAAGTTAACTAAGTTACAAGCAGACTAATTTGCCTTAACTTATGTAGGCTACTAATGGGCTGCACTTTACTTGACGTCCTACACTCATTTGAATGAAAATATCGATCAATATATCGATTAATCGATTGCTTCATTCGATATATCGTTTGGTTAGTTAGGTAAGGTTAACCTAACCTAACTAACCAAACGATATATCGAATGAAACAATCGAATGAAAATATCGAATCGAAAAAAACAATCGAATGAGTGTAGGACGTCAAGTAAAGTGCAGCCTACTAATGAAACAAATTTGAAATGCAGGTAATTTTATTTTACCTAAGGCCTATCTAGGGTAGGCCTATATCAGGGTGCCATTGGTTTAAGTTAATTTAGTATTTAACATTTAGGCTAATTAATTAATCTAGCCTGACAACCACTTAGTTTTAGTATCCTGCCTATAACTCTCATCGAGAGTTCCATCTTGAAGTTAAGAATTTAATTTTTGGTACCGGTACGGTACGTTATACTAGGTAAATACCTACCTACTTATGGATTATGTAAATTTAGGCCTATGTCAACGTTTTGTTAAAAAAATGTCATGGCCTAACTTAAGTTTTATTTAACCAACAGGCGTTCGGAGAATCTAGGATTTCTTCCAAGCTGTGCCTTTAAGTAATTTAAGGTTTAGGTAATGTCATAAAAGGGTTATTTTAATACTGTGGTATTAATCCTGTAGGGTCACGGCATACTTGTATGCTTGAGATAGGCAAAGGCTGGCTTACTTGAAATAAGCCTATACTAAATAAATACCAACTTAACAACAGTAAGGTCTTCATTCTGCAGTAAAATCTAAAAGGATTGAAGAAAATATCTTTTCACGTTTTGCTAAAGGAAAGAGCTAAATTGTATTTATTTACTCATCCATTTAATTGTAGAAGGTAAAGATACGACTCTAGGGCTGAAGAATTAATTTGATTTTCTGATTTCCAATGAAGGGCTGTCAAAAATAGTAAACGCCTATTGCATTATCAATAATCCAGCTCACCTAATTAGTTGATAATAACAGAATATTAATTAAAATATGTATAATCACACTACACAGTGAGTTTAAAACAGATATTTTACAGTACTTACCACACATAACAATTTATAATCACGATAAACGAATAAACGATGGAAATTCTTTCTTGAGACTCGGACTCGGCTTTCTGCCAATTTTATTAAAAAACTCTGCCATCATGACAATAGTGATACAACATCGTCACTCATAGGTGGTACTATACAAAATAAGAAACTTATGCTGAGTTTTTCTAATCAAATTTAACGAGTTTAACAGCGTAATCGGTAATCAAATAACATTTGTATTAGTTGATATAAATAGTTGTTTGAGATTGAAACAAAAGTAGAATAAGTAAAGAAGTAATTTTGACCCATACGAAAATTCTAGGGTTAAATGTAAAAAAGTACTCGGTCACACAAGAATTGCTCCAAAAAGACGTGAGATGTGCTCCAATAGGGGTGCAAGGTACTCCCCCCCCCAACCACTACAGTATGTACAATTTGGTGTATAAAACCAGGGTGTTTGGCATCAGGGAGCTGGGCCTCCAGCCAGGCCCGACCCCTCCGGATGGGTGTGCTCTGAGCCACCGGTGTGGGACCCGAAGGGCATCCTGAGCCCCCGGCAATCTCGCATTGGTGTGTTGAGCCCGCGTGTCACCTTGATGAACGTATTGAGCCCCCAGCACTATCAGATGGGCGTGTTGAGCCCCCGTCACCCTCGCATTGGCGTGTTGAGTCTGCGGGTCCATAGTCGAAAGTGGAGGGAAGGGCTCGCTAGTCTCCCACCACCTTAAAGTCGTATTTCTATTTACGTATACGTAGCGTATTGACGGTAGTTTACGTCGGGTGGGCCTTCAGACTGAGTAGACTGTCTAGAGAGAGTACTAATAACTTCTGATCAGTAACGCCTGAACCGTTTCAATTGGATTGCAGCAGCTAGGGGACCAAGAATTCTGGGGTGAAGCTAAAAAGTTTATTAAGGTTACCAATTAAGGTGATTAAGAACGCGGGGCCACAGGGATATCTTGTAGGAGTGTCGTACCACCAGGCCAGTAAGGACGGACACTAGGACTCCAACCTCTTCTCTACCAAACCCTGGATACAAGCCCAGAGACACTGCCTGCTACGGACCCAGGATTAAGATTGTAAATATACTGCATTTGTAAATAGTTAAGCAGTTAAAGGCATATAGAAGATATAAGTTGTAGTAGGTACCATTAAAGATTGAATAAACGAAAGGGTTAGAAACTTTCAGTTTTTCACATAGTGACCCTTTACAACCCTTGATAAAGGTCTACAGCCTAGTGTTCTGAAAGAAACCTCCTCGCACAATTTTGAAATAATTGAGTTATATTGCGAACCAGATTTGATCCATCAAAAAGCTGCTGACTTATTATCTTTAGGATCAAAATCAATATATCTCATTGGATCGAACCGAAGACTGTGTTGTTGTCTTTGATAGATAATGATCGGATTTATTGTGATTTTGTGGATTGGGATTGTATTGTGTTAATGTTTTTCTTTAGATAATGCAAGTATGGAATCAATAGTCAATGATAGAATTCAAGTCCCGTCATCAACTGGGTGTTCAAAAGGTGGGGATATAATTTACGTAGTGATTCTTTGGGTCAAAAAAAAAGAGAAAATCAATAATAAAACCATAAAACATACTCCCTTAGTAGATTTCTCATCCTAATGGAACAGCTGAAGACAATTTTATTGTTAGTTCTGTACGGTTTATGTAGAGGTCGTGTTTTGTTTACAATTTGTTTCCCGTTAATACAGTAATTTAAAACCTCGTTTAACCAAATAATACGATCATAAACAATCAATTGTCCCCTAGTTATTTAACCAAACAGTAAAGCACAAATCAAGAAATTAACCCTAAAATAATAGAAACAAAATTTCGTCAACACTAGCGCCCAGTGTGGCGTACATGAACTAGACATGAAAAACGAGCTTCAAAATTTACAATGGAATGAGAAGTCTAAAAACTATTTCCAAAACTGCTTTGTTAACCAGATTTCCGCCATTTTGAATTTTTTACATTAACATTTTTATATTTGGATTGTTCCAATAGATCTTTACAATACTTTGGGTACAAGGTACAAAAGAGACCCATGATAGAAAACAAGTTAAATCTTGATCCAATTCAAAATGGCGGCCATTTTAACCTCCAAAATTTAAAAAACTAACAATGTCAAGAAAACTTTTATTACCGGTACCGTACGCATTTATAATTTCCTATCGAAGGACAAAAAGTTCAAAAAGATAAAATAAAAATAACTGATATATCACGATTTAAATGGGGTCCAATTACAATGAGATACAAGTCATGTTTGCCTCATTGTACAACCAGAAATTGTGACAATTTAGTTATTTTAGCGAATTTCCCATATAGGGAATAAGCTATTACCGTAGTACTCATGGTAAGGCCTGGACCTGGGACTGATTTAATTTTTCGTTTTGAGGTCCCTAGAGACCAAAAACGCCATCTGTTCAAATTCATATATATATTACATAGGTATGTGCCAGTTAGAGTGATAACTCAAGCAAAAATTATCTGATTTTGGGAACAGGGGTTTATGGGGGGTTTCATGGTGTATAAATGGGGTTTTCCCATTTTTGACCAGATAAACAAAAGATTTTGCAATAACTTTTTTAACTGTTTTGTAGAGCTTAAAAAAAGAAATAATTTAGTACATTTGAAGCGCTGTTGTATGCCGCTGGTCACGGAGAAATTCTTATGGAGAAAATGAAAACTGTTGTTTTTTTTACTTGTTTATGGATGTATATTGATAAAATTTATTTCATCCTATACTATTGACCTATGGTCAAAAAACACTTTTTACCTTCCCCGTAACAGCATTTAAATTGGGAATAAATATGTCTTATTTATGGAAATGTTTTGGTAAAAATGTAATCATACAATTTGAAATTCGCTTAGTCTGCAGATTTGCTACGGTGGGGGTATTTTTAATAATTTATATAAAAAAAATAAAATGGCTAGCATTTTGAAATTTTGAACTGGATAAAAAAAAAACTTGTTCCAACATAAAAAATACAAAATTGCGGCTATCTGGTAGAGGAAGCAATTTTAGAACAAGTTTAATTCTTGATTTTCTCTTTATTTTGACACAAGGAATCGCTACGTAACGTATGTCCGCACCTTTTTTCAACACCATGTATTTTTTGAACTAACTACATTCAAAACAATGTTTCCAGGGTAAAAATGTTGTAAATCTGAGGCCCATTTCATGTTTTTTCTATGCCCTTAACCCTCAATGCTGGATGGTTCCCGAGAATTAAGGCAATTTACTTACGAGTTTGTTACTGCTCTAACCCCTGGTAACTGAAAATGGATGAAATCTACACTTTCAAATCTACCAATTCCCGTAACATGTTGAAAAAACACATCTCACAGCACATCCTTCTTCTTGGAAGTCGACAATTATCCACCCTTGACACATTCCCTTAGCACGGGTGACACTAGAAAACTGTACCAGATGAGAAGGTAACTTACTGATGGGTATGGGTGTCCATCCCGAAAACTGTTTGAAAATTAAGTACTGGTAATGTACTAAAAAAAACCATGTCTTTGTGTATTTTGTGGTAACTTATATTTCCCCAAAAATATACCTACATCATACATTCTTTTACCGGGGACCACAACAAACCAGGATAGCAAAACAAAAGTTGTAGTGTTTGTAACTTTATATTTATATTACAAACATTCACACAGTAATTTATACTCTAGATGCTCTATAACTGCAGTACTGTACAAAAAGACCAAGCATGCGATGTAAAACTGTACAAAATCAAGATAAGCCAGCCTTACAAATAAATATGTAGTTTACAATTACCTCAAATGTATATTTGATAAACCATAAAAAATAAGTCTCTTAGAGACGCGGCCGAACCATGTTAGTTAGGAACCAACAATCAGACTCTCATAATCCGTCCGATTGACTTCAACACCACACTCCTTACATCTAGCTGAACAATAAAGCTCAAAGAAATCTTCATAGGCCTATCAAAATATGACTTTCAGTCAAGCGTGGTAGACAACTGAAGTGAACAATAGATGCCTTTGGTATACAAAAAATGGGATGAAATTGAACAAATCAACTGTCAAAACCAGTGCAATTTTGTACAATAAAAAAATTAGTTAAAAACTTTATGAAAATATATTCAGAGATTCTTCATAGTTTTGGCCAGATCTACTGAATGGATATGCTTGCATTTAAGTTTGATTCCATACCAAATACGCAGTATAAAATAAACCAGTTTATTCGCTTTGGTTTGTAGCTTTTATCAGAATCAAGACATAAAATCATGTATTTATTTAAACTTGCAAAAATATATGAATTTCTTAACAAACATAAATTTCATGGCATAAATTTGATCAAATGGGATTTAGATTGACCATTCATCCTTAAAATGCCAAAATGTTAGAGTTAAAAATTGAATTCAACGCTAATTAGAAATTATTTAAACGAAATTTGAAAGAGTGACAATTCAGCCCTATGATCCATGGTTAAAACTAGCTAATGATAATCAGTACAAAAAGTCAAGTTAAAACACACATGATACAAAAAATATAATAAATACTGGTAATGTTAACATACAAAATTGTAAATGCTTAACGTAATGTCTTTGACTCAAGGACTGTAAGTGTATGACACATATGGGATTAATAAAAATACCATCCTCTTTCATAGAAAATATTAACAAAACAAATTAGTAAGTATAAGTAAAATCTAGTAAGTCTTTGCTACACGACAATTCACAACAAAAGACTAGCAGTTTGTCGCACACATTCGTACAACGATAAAACATCGAGTTAGGCTTGAGCGAAACATAGCAAAATAAAATTATATTTATACACACATACGTACACACAATTTTTATCACAGGGCTAGAAGTAAGTGGATAATCGAATAAGGTTACAAAACCGACGAATGCACTATATTTACATAATATGAAAAATTGAACACTTCCCAATGTCAATACTAAAGAATTCGAGAGTATAAAAAATATTAAATAAAATATACACAATGATTCCCTTAAATACAATAAGATTACAGCAACAATAAATATACTCAGACTACATACATATTATTATACAACTGCTAAAAAACCGCGTTCAAGTAAGGTACAAAATCAGTACTTACATCATGAGTTCAAGATCAGCTTGGTATTGGGGACAAATTATATTTGAAGCTGTTTACCCCTATAGCAAAGTATTGATGGATGGGAAATTTAATTTCTATTTCATTTTAGATATTATATAAACAATACAGAACACAAATATTGAATTTAAGCGAACCTGAGGAATTAAAAAAACTATGACGGGAGAACTAAGGGTCACCCTATCTTTGCACTGCATTCACAATGTCTTTAAGGGTGTTGTGCAGCTCGGCCAATGTTTTGGTGTTGTCTGCTTGGTTGCGAGCGCCAGCTGAGCGCAGAGTCCTGGCCTGCGTCTCCAGTCTGTTGAGAAGCTCACGCAGATGGAAGCGCGCGTGAGGTGGAGCAACAGAGTCTGCATACGCCAAACACGAGGTATGAAACATTCCAACTTTGTCCGACAGTTGCAGCCAGCTAGATGACGAAACTGAGCTGGAAGATCTCAGGCTCGCCAGACTCGTCTCCAACGCCTGCCAGATCTCTAGTACACTGGACAAGACACCTGGCGTAGCGTAGATCGCAGCAGGCTTTACCACGGGTTTTACATTGGGTTTTGTAGGTACAGCAGGTTTTTCTTCTGGAGGCCAAACCCTTCTTTCCTTCACTACTTCTGGAGGACTGCTTTCACCTTCCCACAGTTTCTTTAAACTACTTATACTCCCGGTGCTTCTTCGTTTATCATCCCCTTCTTCTTCCTCTTCAGGTTTTGCTGGAGTGTTATTGGTATCAACCTTCCTCAGTCTCGACTTCAGATCTATTACCCCACCATTCAACTTATCGTCTTCTTTTTTCACTTCAAATTTCTTCAACTGTGTCTTGAAAGCGCTTTCTTGCTTGGCACTCGTGTCCGAATTCAAACTGACTTTTCTTAGGTTCACTTTAAAATCTACAGGGGAGGTTTGTGCTTCAGAGTTATCACCTTCAATCACTTCATTTGGTGGAGAGTCCTTTGAAGCTTTATTCGAAGACTTCTCTTTCAGTTCTGCAGCTAATTTAAGGTCTAACATCTCCTTCATCATTACCGGCATTGCGTTTTTCAAAATCTTAGAAGTGGGAGATTTCTTCTCTTCTTCGTCTTGGCCCTCGTCTTTGGTCTGTTTGGGTGAGGGGGGAGGAGAGGGCGGCACAACAGGTGATGGAGAATGAGGCTCATCTGAAGCAGGACTTTTCGTTTCTTGACTCGGGGTCTGACTAGGAGGACTTGGAGGCCTGTCTCGCGGACGAGGGGAAGTTTTAGAAGGGATCCTGACCGGTTCAGATTTTGCCGAACTACAGGAGTCTGTGGAGGGTTCTCGGTGCCTCAAACTCACACCGAAACGGAAACTCGCTTCTTCCACTGAAGGTTGAGGGTTACTCACATCGAGCCCAGTGTCCAGCTCTTCAGGCGGGGGTGGTGGGGGAAACTCTAGGTCGGCCAGCGAAGGCTGAGTCGCTCTAGGGTGCCGCTGGCGGGGACTGGAGGGGGGGTGGTGGTGATGTTGGAAGCCTCCTGAGGAGTTGCTACGGATCATGTGTCCAGGCTGTGTGCGGACGTTGTTACGAGGGGAGACAGAACGAGGGGGGGGAGGAGTCTCGGCTCCTTGTCCCTCACTGAGTCCACTCTGCCGCAGAGACTCTAGATAGGCCCCAATGCGAGCTCCCTTTGGCAGAGTGCCATACCGGTTTATAGCTCGTTTGACGTTCTGAACCTCCAGCGCAGCCACTTGTACCACCTGAAGCAAGAAAAACTGGTAAACTATTATACTAATTTCAAAAAATATTTATTTAATACCAGTAGTTAACTTTTTTTAATACATATAGAAGTGTGTATTCTGAGTTGAAAGTAAAGGAACTGAGAGTATAATGGAGTAAGAAGCCAAATGAACCTGTGTAAATCAAGACATATAAAAGTAGTAATGGACCTTTAACAATGTTGAAATAGTATTCACCCGATCCTGTAGACATATACATACATAAACAATGTACAGTAGACTCCCTCTTATCCGGACACCTTTTAACCGGACATCCGTTTAACCGGACTACACTCGGCGGTAATGACATCTCCTTAACCGGACAATTTTTATCAGCACATTGGTTTAACTGGACTAGATAGGCAGGAAGTGGGCAGTATTAAAACGACTGTTCTCGTGGGAAAGATTTGAGACCAGTGATCACTTGACTAAATACAATGCTCTCATAAATTTAAGTCGAATATCACAGTAAACAGTCCGTTTTAACGAGTTTTTGGGGACATCGGTTTAGCCGGGAACACCCGTTATCCAGACTGGCCTCGATCCCGAAGAGTCCGGATAAGAGGGAGTCTACTGTAGCAGAAAAATGCAAGTTTTCATGCATATACTGTACATTGGTATGTATTGGATCAACTCAACAACATAATATTTTTACTTTATGAATATGAGTTTAATTGGATTTAGTTTTTACTGAAATCCTATTCCCGTTATTACTACACTAGAAATTAATAGTCAAATATTGAACTAGACACAATTTAGTAAAGATTTGTTTTGTTAAAGGAAAGGCTCTAGGTCACATTTTGATTGTTTAATAAAGGTAACTAAAGGCTAACTAAAAGTCCAGATATTACACACAGTATTTTGCTCTCCATGGGGACTCATTCGAATGTACACAAGAAGAGTTGAACTGCTATCTAGACTGTTGCCATTTATGTTTTGAAATAGTGTATTTATACACAATAGTGTAAATAAACAAGTTATAATGATGGCAACAGTTCATAATATGGCAACCGCCAAGACAGCAACCATATTGTCTAACTCTCTATATCTACACTTGACTGAGTCTCCCATGAAAAGAAATATTGCATGTTTTCTGTTGTTTTTTCTGTGTGTACTATGGCCTACCAAGGCTTTAAAGGTAAGTTATCAGCTAACACTTCATTCTTGAATCACACTCTAGTACGTTTAAATTAACTGCGGACCTTGTTGGTGTTAGGCTGCTCCTTGGGTGGGTAAGTCCGAGACTTCTTGCCCCGCTGTTCCAGAGGAGCCCGTGAGCCGACGGGGGGAGGAGCTCTCTTGAACCCCTCACTGTGAGCTCCGCTGTCGTCCGTATCTGGTGTCATCTGATCTTCACTGTCTCCCTTGTTACTCTGAGTCATACTCTGCAGCTCTCGGGTGATGCCTATACAACATTAGTGAATCAAATCATTAAAAATTTGGGATAGTCCGGCTGTTTGTTTTAAAAATTAATTTGGTTATTTTGTTTTATTTACTAAATAAGTAGATTCTCAATTAATGTTTTATGAGTTCATGTTTTTTATATTTTAGGAGCCACTAAAACGTGCCAAAACTTATTGACTACGATTTATTTTAGTTTAAGTTTTTAAAACCTACCATGACAAACATTTTCAAATGTAGATCTAAATCAATTATTTATTTAATTAGTTTATTCACCTTAAGGATAACATAGACACCAAGAGACACCATACTACCCAATTCAACTTGAATCAAATACTTGTTCAGTATATCCTACTAATCCTACTAATATTATAAATGAGAAAGTTTGGATGTATGGATGTATGTTTGTGACAAGTGAACGCGAAAAATACTGGTCGGATTGGGTTGAAATTTGGCATGATGATAGCTCACATTCCCGATTAACATATAGGCATATTCTTATTTCAAAAATCCTTTCGGGCTCCGCCCCAGTGGCTCTGGAGTTTCCCATGTTAACCTTATGAGAAATGGAATTATTGAATCTTAACAGGTGTTTCAATTAAACAAGTTGGTTCTGTTCTATGATGTTCAATAGCATTAAAGTTACAAGGATTACCAACAGGGTGCAGCACTATTATTTCTTTTACACTTATGACAACAGCTAATTTGCAACCAAAAGGTGAGTGAGCGTAGCGAACAAACTTCAACCTGGAGGCGAGTTAGCGTAGCGAACGAGCTAACCTGAAGGCAAGTGAGCGCAGCGAACGAGCTCCAACCTAAAGGTGAGTGAGCGTAGCGAACGAGCTCCAACCTAAAGGTGAGTGAGCGTAGCGAACAAACTTCAACCAGGACGTGATTGAGCCATGCGAACGAGATAATCTTGAAAATTAAGAAGTTAAACGGGGCAAAGCCCGCGGGTTACAGCTAGTATCATAATATTTTTTAATATTGAAATTTTTCCAGTGGACATTTACGTTTTAGTTTCTCAAAGATGGGTGGACTTGTTTAAGTTTGTCAATTAGAGGTTTGGTATTATTATTATACTAAGGTTAATCATCCTGAATTCAACTTATACATAAATTATTCATTGTTTCAAAACCTATGAAAACTACATTAAATATAATATTCTACAGCATCTTTTTAAAATTAATGTGTAGAGTTTAGATCTTCATATTTGTCTATATATTAATTATGTTAGGTTTTTGTTCTTAGCTTGTTTTCAGAAACTAAGATAAAACCAGTGACTTTCTAAACAAATATAGAAATGTTGATCTTTTACACCTAAACTGGCTTGTACTCTATCAGGCGTTTGGATATTTTTTAAATTATTTACCACAACACGTTATTTTTGGTGCAAAACAAATGAATATTTCCATTTATAATTATTGTTAGAAAACGGAATGGCACAAACATAACATAGACTGTAGGAGGTTGAAACCATGCAAATCATTTAGACATGCCATTGTGATCACATTTCCTCATTCCAGCACCCTCAAAACCTGTGCTTTCACATTCACAACACTGATTTTATCAAGATATTGTAGTTGTATTTCGCACATCACACAATGAGACATCACATTGATACGTTCGAGAACAATTTTAAAATAACTCTGCTCTTAAAAAACAGGAGTTTTCAAACATTAAGTTACTGAAACCTTGTTGAGAACATAGCACATGCTAAAGTGCCTTATTTATATAACTGTGTAAACACATTGATTGGACAGTGAATGTCTATTTTTGTGTATGAAACATCTTGTGTGTTATCTATGAACGGGTTGAATTCGTTAACAACTAAATCCAAACTATTAGTAAAGTGAAGCTGGCACAAAATATACAGCCGTTCTAAAGTTATTTGAAATAATCAGCATTTCAAACACTCTTTGAAAGCTTCACAACACTCAGAGGCAATCGGTTTTAGATCAAGAATTCAAATTAGTGTAAAATCTAAAATCTATTTAATGAATTTGTTATAATAGTGGCCCAGAAACTAAAACTAATCTTACAAAAAATATAATGTTTTTAGGGAACCTCGTAATAAAATGAAGTCTTTCCTTTAGAACTTTCCATCATTATGTTACTCTATTCTGAACATAATTTAATCAACTCACTGAAAATCTTAAATAAAAGCAGCATATGAATGTTGTGTTAAGTGTTGTTTTTTGTTTGAATATTTGTAACCCTCATAACTTATACTTTCTCAGGTACACTAGCTGACCTCTATTCTTTCAAAAAAAAAGCCCCATAACACATTCACTTCTGAGTGGCACAAGACCTGACCAACACAACTATTTGAGTCTGATTTTACCGTTTTTCGAGGTGTAGCATGTAGTGTTGGTCAAAACCAGAAATGTTGAATCTCAAAACCAAAAGCGAAACTTAAAAAAATCGAATCCCGAATCTCAAATCTCAAAACCTAAACGCAAAACCTTTTTACTTAGCTGGTTACCAAGGTTAAGGTTACAGGAAAAATGCAGGTAATAATAAAATTTTAAATGTAATCAAAACTGAAAGAGGTTGACTCTTGACACTGACATATATGTGACTGATAAACCCATATCAACACATTTTTTTCTGAAATTAAAATAAATTAAACTCCTGACACCAACATAAACATGAATATTAGACTAATTAGAACATTTAGTGGCTAATATATCGTTATGAAACTGTGTTGTTCCAGTTATAGTATTTAAGATGCCTTTCTAAATTCAGAATAAAATTAATTTCAGAATAAAATACTGTGTTTGCTCTATTGCTATCAGCTAGTGTGGAAACAGAGTTAAAAATAATAATGATGATGCAAAAAATGTCAGTAGATTCAAGAATAAAACTGCCAAAATCTTCAATTTCGAAACTTTTGAATCTCGAAACTCAGTGATCGAATCTCGAAACCGAAACTTTTTCAAAGTTTTGATGGATTTGAGATTCGGTTTTGACACACCACTAGTAGCATGACCTCGTAATAAATACAATGACCAATTGCCGGTAGGTAAGATGTTAATGAAAAAATAAACCAAACGTACACTAGACAATGAAAATGAGAAACAAATCTAGTCCTTTCCGATTCCTCGCTTTTGTACAAGCATCAAAACAAACCAGAAGGGACGGGGTGAGAGGAGGTTTAGCACAACGAGCAGTGAGACCAAGACGCAGGCAGTGGAGGGGGTACATGCAAACAGTTGTACCTTGGAATATGAGATCTATACCATTAAGGGTGGTGGAGTCATCAGCCAAATCTCCGGCTGCAGGCTGCGCCATCTCTTGCTCCTGATAGGTCGAGTCTCGGAACGAACTGCATGACGATAGTAGACTGCAAAAAATTTGATTATGTGAAAATTATAAGTAAAATGTATACAGTTGGGGGATAAATGGAGTTATAAGTTGAATTATTGTATGATTATTGGGTGTGCTCCAATTAATGTACAGAGAGAGCTTTATTTTTCAGAGGTCAATCCTTTTCTTTTTAAATAGGAGGACCAAAATCGTATTGATTTACAAAATTAGGAATATGTTAGTCATAACCACTACTTGTTGGCACTATTTTATCTTAAACCATATTAGCTACCTTGTGCGTTTTGGAGGCGCCGGGGCTGTTTTTCCCTTGCGGTTGGTTGGCCTTCTTAACTGAACTAAGCTGGACTTGGTCGGACCACTGCTGAATGTCGATAGCTTTGTTACAGGCGCAGCATCTACAACAGTGAGATTTACAATCACACTTCATCTCTGTATTTATTTTGTCTCTGTCTAAAACCCCTAGATGTAAGACTAAAGTTTTCAAGACACTTTATTGAGGCATCTTAAGGGTGTGCTCTACCTCAGCTCAGAAATCTCAACTCGGGCCTCAGTGGCTATGCAGTGGCTATTGCACCAATGAACAGCGCCGCGAGAAGCGCTTGCAGACGTTTAAGTCTTCTTTAATTACTCAATTAACTTTTAAAATATTTTTCATCTGAAGATTGTTTCTTACTCCTTAGATTCAAAATTCAAGATTCAAAAAGTCCTCATTCACACAGTACAAATGTTTATACATGAATAGTGTCTATTGTTACTACTATTACTGTGCTGTTTGGTATTTTTATAATTGCTATCATATGTTGCATATTTGATGTTTGTTTTTATTGTATTGTTGTTTTGAGCTTGAAGACTTACTTTTGGGATCTTGGCTAATAAAGTATCTATGTTTAACTGTGGTGTGAGTTTTACCTTTCACTTCATGGTGTCAGGTTAAATAAACTTTTGTGGAGAAGAAAGAACTAAGCATGGCTGAAGCAGTGAGTAGTACAATTAGTACAGTTCAATACCAACTTGTCACACCTGAACCTTTCAATTTCAGGGAACCTTCTGAATGGCCTAGATGGATAAGAAAATTTGAAAGGTTTAGATTAGCTTCAGGATTAGACAGTAAGAGTGGGGAAAATCAGGTTAATATGCTTTTATACTGTCTAGGAGATGAAGGAGAAGACCTTCTAACATCTTTCGGATTAAAAGATGAAGAATTACAGAGTTATGACACTGTCAAGGGTAGATTTGAGTCTTACTTAGGTTTCAAAATCAATATTGTATATGAGAGAGCTAAATTTCTAAAAAGACGTCAGTCTGAGGGGGAACCTGTTGATTCTTTTATAAATAGTTTACACAAACTGGCAGAGCGATGTAAACTTGGGGAATTAAAAGATGAACTAATTAGAGATTTGATAGTAATTGGGGTAAATGATGATAAACTTTCTCAAAATTTACAGTTGGATGAAAAATTAACTTTAAGTACAGCAATTTTGAAAGCAAGACAAGCAGAGAGTTTAAAACAACAACAAAAAGTAGTGAGGGAATCACCAGAAATTGAGTTTGTCAATAAGGGGATTAATCAATCCACTAAACATCGGTTTAGGGACAGTTCTTGCAATAAAAGTCAAGATCAAAGCTTTTCAAAGAAAGGTAAATGTAACAAATGTGGATTTGTTGGTCATCACAATAGCAATGATTGTCCTGCCAATCAGTCTACATGTTTTAGATGTGGAATAAAGGGACACTATGTGAGATGTTGTACCAAAGGATTTGAAGTGAGAGAAATTAATAAAAGTAATGAACCATTAGAAAAACCTAAAACCTATTTAGGGGAATTGACCATAGAAGAGGTTGGAGGACAAAATCCTTGTAAAGTAAAACTTAATGTCAAGGGGCATGATATTTATTTTAAGTTGGACACTGGAGCAGATGTTTCTATAATTGGATATGATCTTTGCAAGGAATTAAAACTGGAAACGAGTGAAACAAGTAAAATATTATTTGGTCCGGGGAAAACTAGGTTGAAAGTGGTTGGTAAGATCGTTGCTACTTTGGTTTTTAGAAATAAATCTATTGTAGAAGATATTTACGTCATTGAGCAACAACCTACTCCACTTTTAAGTAGAAATGCAATGTTGAAATTAAACCTAATTCAGTTCAACACAGATTCGATTTTCTCTCACCAAATATTTTCTCAGTTTTCTGATGTTTTTGGTTCTATTGGCGAAATGAAAGGGGAAAACTACAGAATTGCACTAACACAAAATGCTCGTCCCTTTGCTGTGGCAGCCCCTCGTAGAGTGTCCGCTCCATTATTGAGCAAAGTCAAAGAAGAATTGGATCGACTGCATTCTGAGGGAATAATTGAGCCAGTGGTAGAACCAACAGACTGGTGTGCACCAATTGTTGTTGTACCGCGTAAGACAGGTGATAGAGTGAGGCTATGTGTTGATTATACCGAACTCAACAAAAGCATTCAGAGAGAAAGGTGGCAACTACCAACTGTAGAAGAAAGTCTAAGTAAATTAGAAGGCGGACAAATATTTTCATTACTAGACGCTACAAATGGATTTCTTCAAGTTCCCTTACATCATGAAAGTTACAAGCTTACGACTTTTATAACTCCTTTTGGGCGATTCTTTTTCAAGAGGTTACCATTCGGTATTAATTCTGGCCCAGAGGTTTACCAGAAGAGGATATACCAAGTTTTGGATGGACTGGATGGGGTAGTAAACCAAGCAGATGATATACTTGTGGTCGGTAGAACACAGGAAGAACATGACCATCGACTAGCAAATGTATTACAAAGATTGAGAGAACACAATGTTACACTTAATAAAGATAAATGTAACATTAATGTGAACAGAGTTAAATTTCTAGGACATTTGATTGAAAATGGATTGATAAAGCCTGATCCTGAGAAAGTGGAGGCCATTATGAAAATGCAAACCCCAAATAATGTTAACGAGCTTCGGCAATTTCTTGGCATGGTTAATAAGTTACAGCTCCATTGCGAATTTTACTTAAGAAAGGTTATCAGTGGGTTTGGTCTGACGTTCAAAAGAGTGCTTGGGATAAAATTAAATCCCTAATTTCTTCAAATCCAGTTCTGGTGTCTTACAACAAAAATCGTAAAACCAGAGTTGCAGCTGATGCCTCGTCATTTGGCCTAGGAGGGGTGATTGAACAATTTGTGGATGGAAAGTGGAAACCAATCACCTATGCATCGAGATCTTTATCACCGACAGAGATGCGTTATGCTCAGATAGAAAAGGAGGCACTGGCACTGACTTGGGCATGTGAGAGATTTTCACAGTATGTTTTAGGAACAGAGTTTGAACTTATGACTGACCATAAACCTTTAGTTCAGGTGCTTGGAAGTAAAAAAATCGCTAGTTTATCGGCAAGACTTCAGCGGTTAAGAATGAGAATGGCTTGTTTTAGATATAAAGTAACATATGTGAAAGGAAAGGAATTTTATGTACCAGATGTTTTGTCTAGGAACCCCATTAAGTCAAATGAAGAACATGAAGACATATTGGAACAAGATTTGTTTGTTCAGAGTATTATAGATGCTATTCCATGTTCTGACAAAAGGCTCAAGGAAATCAAAGAAGCTCAGGATACTGATGAGGAATGCGGAAGAATTAAATCCTGGATTGTGAATAACAATTGGAATAAAAATTCGGTGTATTGGAAGTATTCCAGTAATTCAGAGCTTGAAGACTGATCTAAACATCAGTAAAGGATTCCTCCTTTTAGGCACCAGACTGTTTATTCCAAAATCGTTGAGAAAGGAAATACTGAGTAAAATACATGAAGGTCACATGGGAATTGTCAAATGTCGAAGGCGAGTGTATGAATCGGTGTGGTGGCCTGGCTGCTCAACAGATATTGCTACACTTGTAACAAATTGTCCAGTTTGCTTGGAGCAAAGAAGTAACAAATCAGAACCATTACTGTTGACTGAACTACCAAAAAATCCCTGGGAGTCTTTAGGTATTGACCTTTTGAAATGTAATGCAAAATGGTATTTAGTTGTGCAAGATTACTATTCTAGATTTCTTGAACTGGTTTATGTGGATGCATTGACTACTGGAGCTGTGGTTGCTAGATTGAAAAATATATTTGCTCGACATGGAGTACCATATGTGGTAAGAGCTGATGGAGGTCCGCAATTTACTTCTCAGGATTTTAAAAATTTTGCTGAAGAATATGGTTTCCGTATAGTGACATCAAGCCCAAGGTATCCACAATCAAACGGAGAAGCAGAAAAAGCAGTTGACATAGCGAAGCGGATTCTAACGAAATGTAGTGATCCAAATCTTGGATTGTTAGAATATAGAAATACACCCTTAGAGTCTGGTCTTTCACCTGCAGAGTTACTTTATTCACGGAAGCTCCGATCAACATTACCGTCAATAAATAACTTCAGACAGGTAACAAGGGAAAGATTGCAAAAGTTTAAAGAGAAGGATTTTTCAATCAAGGAAAGAAATAAGAGAAACTACGATGTAAGGAAAGGTGTAAGAGATCTCTCACAGCTTGATCAAAATGACAAAGTTTGGATTCCAGATTTAAAACGTTATGGACATGTTGAGAATAAATCAAATCATCCTCGGTCCTACCTGATAAATACACAGGCAGGGAAGATCAGAAGGAACAGGAGACATATAATAGCTGTGCATAGGCCTATTGAAAATAGTGGAAATAGATTTGAACACCAATACCAAGAAGACCAAGGAACTGAAACTGATGCTGGACATAATTACAATAGCAATGAAAATGACAGACCTAAAAGAAGTGTAAAACCACCTCTTAGATACAGTGATTCAGATTTTTACAAATAAACTAAAAAAAAGAGAAAAGAGAAGATGTGCTGTTTGGTATTTTCATAATTGCTATCATATGTTGCATATTTGATGTTTGTTTTTATTGTATTGTTGTTTTGAGCTTGAAGACTTACTTTTGGGATCTTGGCTAATAAAGTATCTATGTTTAACTGTGGTGTGAGTTTTACCTTTCACTTCAATTACTACTTACTTATTGTTCTAATTAGCAATAAGAAACAGTTAAACATTACAAAATAGTATAGGCCACATTATTTAAAATTGAAATAGTGTATTTACCAGTCACTTCCCACTTAAAATTCTACTATTATCAAAAAAATTAAATAAGTACAAGCCTACAGATATAAGAAATGAATAAATTAACATCAATGTATTTTAAATCGGTTAAGAACTAAGCTGATAAAGACGGAGATCCTAAACCCTTGCATTAGCGCGCGGCGGAGAGGTAGCGCGCCCTTAATACACCACTTTGAAATAAATACAGCAAAAACTCACCTAATTGAAACAACTTTTAGTTCAAACAATGATTAACCAATACAGCCTATCAAATTAAAACACTATACAGCATCATACTGTGGTTTACACTTAAAGAAAGAGCAAGTCTAGCAAACAAATGAAGAATAGTGGCACACAAAGTCATGCAAGGTCGTTCACCTCAACTCACGACTTTGATTATGTGATTTTGCCACAAAACACAACAATAACAAAGAGTGACACACTGTATAAAAGAAAGCAGAAAACGGTTCTTATAGATGAAGTAGCATTCGTGTTGTATATACCTGGGACTGGCTGGTCGGACACTAGCACCAGACTATGTATGTTTCCTGTACTGCCTGTGTGAGGCTTCTTGTAAGGCAGCTGAGGTGTGTTGCTGCCTTGTAGCTGCTTCTCTACCTCTGTAAAACACAACCACTAGTAAGTTTAAGGTACATTTTAAATAGGTACATTACAATAGAACTTAGATTTAAAATATGTGATGGGTGTATGTGTTTTACTTCTTTTTTTATGAAATAGAAAATCATCTCAATAAACTTCTCATTTATTTTAATTTCATAGAACAACTGTGAAGATATAATGATATGGATGGTTTACGATGGAGGGATGGCGAGGAGGATTGAAGCTCACTGTCTGTTTAAGAAACACTATTCCATTAATCTAGTAAATAATGCAAGATTCGTAGCATTGATTGAGTCATCAAATATTGTATTTTAATCGTATTTTCTTGTGGAGTACACATTTCAACCTTCTAGGCTATCATTAGCTCTTAGAAACATTATAACACAGACATACAAACACAACGCAAACGATAACATTCATAACTACAAGCACACATTTGGCAGGGCTCGGAACAGCGGCAACACTGTCTGCAAGGACCCTAGCGAGTAAGTAAAATACAAATCAATCTAGTCAACTTGTGAGTTTTACCTTCAATGATGTTTGACTCCTGGAACATGTTCTCCAGTGCGTGGTGTATCTCCTGGAAGGTAGGTCGCTCTGATGGCACCCACTGCCAGCACTGTCTCATCAGCTCGTAGATCTTGGGTGGACAACCTGGCGGACACTCCATCCTGCACGTCATACAAATGTTACAACTCATCTCAGAGAAAGCGACCCCCTCACATCGTAAAACAAGTTTCTATTGAAGGAGATATGGGTGAAATTAAGTCCATCACATGTCAATTATCAAGGGAATTAAGCTTTCAAGACAGCTCTCAACTAGCAAACTATAAGGAAACCAAAATTTTGTCTGAACAACATCTATTTGTCTTGACTATGACTATTTGGGTTGATCAACTAAGTTCTGTTTTAGATTGGTGGTCTTTGGGCAACGACTGTGTCAAAATCAATTAATCAAGTCCCTGACTTGATACATCATGTGCAGAAGTCATGTCACACTGTAGATGGACCTCTATATTAAACTGAAAACATTGGCGGATAAAATTAAGTCATCAATTTTTATAGACTATAAAATCTATGGTATATGATAGTGGAAGACTGTCAATTAATCTTCTTTGATTAAAAACTAGCAAAAGCTAGACTAAATGAGATGTCTATTTCTCTATCACTTACTTACTCTATTGTTTCTCTATTTCTCAACGTCAATCTTTCATCAGTCTACTACATCATATTCAAGTCACCACGGTTAGCAAGCCCTAGATAACCTGGCCAATAAAACGTACCTATAACCCTTTTCCAGCATGTGGTAGACATCTGTAAGATCCACACCAGGGTAAGGAGACATCCCGTAGGTGGCAATCTCCCACAGTAGAATACCAAACGCCCACACATCCGACTGTAACAGGATGAGGTTTGACAGTTCCAGAGGTAAGAAGATTGAAGTTTAAAACATGGCAAAATATTTTGTTATATAGGTGTAACACTTCAGGATAACTACCACATACTAAAAAAATTCTCCTCGCCTGAAAGGGTTATCTTTTTTTTTTCTAGATAACTGTAGCATACGATTACCCCTGATCCACCAAGGTTTGGCATTATCTTGTAGCTAAAAACACCAGTGATTGGTGGGATTTTAACCCAGAATACCAGAACAACAGTACTCTGCTCTACTACACCAGCTATGCAACTACAGGGTGTGTAGACAAGTTTTCTATTTGTGTGTGATTTTCAAAATTACTCCATATTTACTATATTGACAAACAAACTTAAAAAATTTTATTAACACAGAAATAGAGATAAAGAGGTTCTTGGAACACCATTTTACTGCGTTCCTCCTTAAATCGAGCCTCCTTCAGAAATTTAGGCTTTCACAAGCTAAAAAGGTAGGTCTTACCTTGGTAGAAAACTTGTTATACGCCAGTCCCTCAGGTGCTGTCCACTTGATGGGGAACTTGGCGCCTGCGTGCGCCGTGTAGGTGTCATCTCTCATGAGCCGCGCCAGACCAAAGTCTGCCACCTTCACTAAGTGATTTTCTCCTACTAGACAGTTACGCGCCGCCAGGTCTCTGTGAAACAATCATTAGGAAAATGAAAACTTTATCTTACACATTTTTCCTCATACATTTGTCACACAATAAAACATCTTGTCAAAAGATCTTACTACTTAAATGTTTTAATTTTAACTTCATCTAAAAGGTTGGTTGTACCTCATTGACACTTTTCCTACTGGGGTGTCAATGGCTAGTTTAGACAATCAAATAAAGATAATCATTTAAATTTCAAACGCTTACAAATATGTATTCTCATACAAAGGATCATGTTTATAAATTAAAAATCCGCAAAGAAAACTGAAAGCTGTAAAAAATAATTCTACAATTACAGAGCTAAAGTAAGTAAATATTGGCACCTGGTATATTGTGGGTTTGAGTGATTGTTGCATTCCATAACAAAATGTTCAAATAATTGACACTTGTGTTTCAGAATGTAATTTCAAAATTGCACACCTAGTTATCAAATAGATCAGCTTTAAAATATAATCGACAATCTTTGGAATCACAAAAGGTGTGTTTAAGTTGAATTTCACTAACTAAAAAATTAAATAACTTAAAATCTCAATAGCTAAAAACTTAAATTAGAAACAACATTCTCACTCTGTACCTTTATCTTTCATTTTTACATTTTGTTACTAGCTCTGCTTAACATAGATATTGTAATTGTAAAATATGCCAAAGAGCTCATGTGAACACATAATATTTACATACCTGTGTATAAAGCAACGGCTCTCCAGATAGCTCATGCCGCTGGCTATCTGTGTGGCTATGTACATGAGCACAACTGCGTTGATCTGCTCTTTGTTGCCGTGCCTCAGGTAATCCAGCAAGTTGCCTTTGCTCATGAACTCTGTGATGATGTAGAATGGCGGCTCTCTCGTACAAACACCTGCATCACAATTGAATTGAATAACATGTTAAAGACATGATGATTCAGAAAAATACACATTTGCTAAAGACTAGACCTAACTAGGCCTAAAATTGCATTAAAAGTCTGGTGACATTGCACGGATAGAACTCATTTAAATTGTTGATCAAACACAATAGAAACTGTTGATCTACAAATAAATGTCAACAATAAAATCCCTATTGTAACCCTTTGACTGCTTTAATGACTAATTAGGTTATCTTACCCTATAATATGTAGTCCTAATTTTCATCAAAAAGTATCATGCTGTGGTGTAGTTTTGTTGCAAGCGCAACATTGTATAAGCAAGCGACATGTCAAAAAAACATCAAAATAAATAGATAAATAAACATAAAATATACAATGACGTAACATAGGACGAAAAACCTTAGCCCTATCATAAAGGTTAAGTAAAGGTCAATAAAGGTAAAATAAAGGTCATAAGTTGGATCCGGCGACAGCAGTAGACTGAAATTGGAGCAAAAAACGATTGCACTATCATAATGGTAACTGAATAGACACGGCAACGGCAGTCGAATTTATTAATTTAAAAAAAGTTTTGACGTGTACTCGCTTTGACAATCTTGTGCTTGCTAGAAACTAGTCATCAGCTTAATGGTTGATGACATATTTGGATTACAGACGGTAAGATAGCCTAGTTAATTAAAATTTCAACATGTTAACAACTTGTAAATCACATAGATCTAAGGATATATTGCTTTCCTAAAGAGGCAACCTCTTTTAACCTTGCATTTACTCATCCACATGGCCTTTAGAGGCCTGTGCATGTAATGTATCAAGTAAAGCAACTTGGAGTAAGCCAGTAGGCCTACAATACAAGGAATAAACTTATTATACCGATGAATATTGAGAGATTACATCATAATAACAGAATCCAACGACAATAAAATGTGCAAGTTATGAAGTATCACATAACTGCATGGACAGGTGTTAGGATATTATAATTATTTTTGATCTTGTATTTTACTTACCTAATAATTGGACTAGATTTGGATGTTTCATTTCTTTCATTATTGCTGCTTCTTCTAAGAAGTCTTTTAAGGCCATTGTGTCTTCCTGCAAAAAAAACATGACATAAGTGATTTTTTATAATAAATGCTTGACTTTAGAATCTAAGTTATTGATAGTAATACACCAGTAAAAAGTCATTCAAAAGCCTTCATAAACGTTGTCTACTTACCACTAAAATCATAGGGAGTCTTCCAATTCCATCGTAAGCAATCCTTAACCACACAGTGAATTTTATGAAAAGGATCGTGTGTACCGACAGTGAAAACTTAACTTTAATAACTGTGAGTTGATAACCAAATTAAGTATGAAATGTTAATAAAAAAAACTTAATCTATTTCTGTGTTCCATAGAAAAATCTGTGACCAAGAATGCTTTCAAATCAAAATCAGAGACCATTCAGTGATTGGTAGTCACTCTAAATCAGTAATTAACTTTGACTTTCAAAACCTCGGCAATGAGTGGTAGACACCCTGGGAATCAGATGACTTTTGAGAACACAGTAACTTTGACTATTGATTGATACAACATTGTACATAACCTAGTCAACTGTGTGCCATGCAGGCTAGGTTACCTTGAGTGTTTTGACGGCCACAGTGACGTTGTACCTCTTCCACACAGCCTCGTACACATCTCCGTACTGACCTCCTCCCAGCTTGTGTCTCATCACAATGTCCGTCCTGTTGATCTCCCACTCGTCCGGCTCTGAACATCAAACAAACCACCACTATCTTAATCCAAGTTTTAAAAAAGATAATACATATTATATTTATTTTTAAGTCTTGCCCAGCATACAAATGAATCCTCAAATCTACTCATCTCACCAAGATAAGTACAGTAGACTCCCTCTTATCCGGACACCTTTTAACGGGACATCGGTTTAACCGGACTACACTCGGCGGAAATGACATCTCTTTAACCGGAAAATTTTTATCAGCACATTGGTTTAACCGGACTAGATCACCAGGAAGTGGGCGGTACTGAAACGACTGTTCTCATGGGAAAGATTCGAGACCAGCTATCACTTGTCTAAATACAATGCTCTCCTAAATTTAAGTCAAATACTGTATACAGTATGTATTTAAACGGTCCGTTTTAACGAGTTATTGGGGACGTCGGGTTAACCGGATAAACCATTATCTGGACTGGCCTAGTTCCCGAGGAGTCCCGATAAGAGGGAGTCTACTGTACAAACAGTGATTGACCTAAACACAGTGAGTGGCCTAACAGTGAGTGGGACCTAAAATAGTTGATCCCAAGACAATTTTTTAATATTTTTTTGAAAACATTAACTTCAAGTGACAGTAGGCCCTAATATGGAACGATATCTATGGCCAACATTGAGATCAGTAAGAATACCAGTAGTGTTCTATTATTATCTAAGTTTTTTTAAGTGCTATTATTATTAAAAACTGGTGTAAATGTGTGGTGTAATTCATGTGTTTTTGCTTCATTTGAAGGTCATCAATGTCAAAAATAGTACAAATGGGCAGGACAGGACAAATTAGGAAAAAAATTACGTCTTGACTTGACTCAAGACTAGGACCGTGTTTGCAACCAATCGCCAGAACTTTGTCTTTGGGTGTTTTATTTATGGGAAATGTTGACAAAAGTGTTAATGAGGCCACTCTTAAAAACGTTTGCTAAGAGATCAATTTCAGAATAGATGTCTGCAAAGCAGGCTGTGGTTCAAATATTGAACACTTACTTGTAGTAGGCCTATAAAGGAAAAAACTTGAAGTTTTTATCTTTTTAATGGTCTATTCTCTTTCTAAAAGTTGTTTACTTCTTATGTGTACACCCGGTATGGCCCGGCAGGGTTTTGGACAGTAAAGGTCAGGGCATATAAATGGAAATTTGTCAATGTTTTGTTGCAATTATATTATAGTACGAAGAAAGATAGTGCATCATCATGTAACATGTGTATAAGACAGTAGTATCATATTGAAGCTCAATTTGCTTTTGTGAATAGATGTTAAGCAAGCATATTTGTATATATTTTGTAAGTGTAGCCTAAGATGTAAGATAAGTTGTACTTTTTTTCTGACTTAGCTAATGCAGTTGTTTTGTTAATTTTTAGCTGAATAAACGAATTTGAATTTGAAATTTGAATTTTGAATTTTAATTTGAACTGATAAGCCAGACAAGACTGACAACTCTTATCACTGAAGTCACCACTGGTCTGTCCATGAGACTCATACCTTAACTTCATTGTCTAAATCACTACAGAGACCAATGGTTCCACGGGCTATAAAGGCAAACAGTTAAGATTGAAAGAAAAGAAGGCGTCTCATACCTGGACTCAGGGCGAAGACTGTAGGTTTGTTGTGTTTGGGTGCTGGGTACAGGAGCTGCGTGATGAGGCCATCCGCATGCATCGAGTGGTGATGAACAAGTTCTGCTAATGTGTTGAACTTACTCTCTGTGGTTACGTACACCTACAACAACAACAAAAAGGTCAAACACTAGGAAACTAAATTAAATAACATATATATTCACTGATTAATTAAAAACCATAAACATTACATCCAAATCTTGGAATCAATAGAACTCTTATAAAACTCTTATTCTTTCCAAAGCCCATTTATAAAGACAGTTGGTAAAGTCAAATAGTAATCAAAATGAAATAAAACATCTGATAATGTAAAAAACCCTTGTGGTGTTTTGTAGTATGTTTTATAAAAATTACACTGAACAAATTTCTAACTAAGATCATTCACAATGAATAAGGAAGATTTTTTAAATCCTTGATAAAAAAATGGGCAAATTATAACCAAATAAATTATCAAGACAACTTTCTTATTAGAATGAACAATAACATTTTTAAAAACTAATTGGGCAAGTAAAACCTAAATTAATCCATTAACATAGTAATAGGAAAAACATAGCATTTGGGATAATATTGTAAAAGACTTTTCAAATTATCAAACTTTTTTGCTGAATTTATGCTACCGCTAACATATTTTTACAAAATTGAATCAAGAACCAAATAAGAAAAACTGGCCAATGTCCAGTTTCACATATTCAGTAACACAGACTAATGTAAGGAAGAGTTTAATAAACACAACTTTCAAATTATAGTGTGTTTGGATAAACAAATTTTTTTGCAGCTAAAAAAATTAATTTTCAAAGAAATATTATGTTTGTACAAAGTACAAATAGCATGTACTCTAAGAGAACATTATAAAAAATCTAACAATAAAAATAAATATGATTGTTATTTTCTGGCATTACAAGTTTGATGTATGTAGTTTACTATGCGTTTTTTCAACACAGTGACATCATCAGGTAATCTGCCATTGCTTCAAATTGAATATTAAAAATGAAACAGTCATTACACAACACGTAAAAACACATTTAACAGCTGATCGGTGACTGTTTTATTTTAAAATTCAAGACGTAGCAATGGCAGATTACCTGATGATGTCACTGTGTTGACAAAACGCGTAGTAAACAACAACAAACTTGGAATGCCAGAAGGTAACATAAATATTTATTAATATTTGACGTAGTAGGAAATGAATTCTAACAATAACAAGCTGAATTCAAACCTCAAACAAAGTATTTGCATATTTTAATTCATCACATAAGAACACCACAATTCAAAACAAACAAACAACAATTATGACATAATTGCCAACTGTTTCAACACAGTCAAAAAAGATCTGTTTGATTCTAGTCTGAAAATAAACCAGTAATTACTTCCCTGCACTTAATTTTCCACAGAAGGAAGCAAATGGTTGAGTACAAGACAATTATCCGTATTAACGATGTAATGGGAGTTGTTCAACCTAAAAGAACGACAGATCAGTGAAAGTGATCAATTAACTAGTGAGGCGTTCACTTATGGTTTGTGAAAGTCACCTCTTGTAGTGCAGGCATCTTGATTAGAATTAATAGTGGTTATTGCAATTCAACCGGTACAATTAAGCTATTATAAGTTATTTCAAAACTCTCTTTTTTATTGCTTCAGTAGAAAGTGACAAGTTCATTTAAGAAAGAAAAACGTGATTGGGTTTGTTCTTCTGACAGTTTATATGTTTTAATTTGTTAGAGTTGTAAAAACAAAATGTTGTTGACACTAGCGATCAGTGTACATGAACAAGACACGAAAATGAGTTTCAAAATTTACAATGGGACGAGAAGTTTACTTGTATTGGTTAGTTTATGCTAAAACTTAGAAAGATGGGACATTTATGCATCTGCTTGCATCCTGGAGAAAAATATTTTAAAAACTAATCCATACAGAATCAGCGCTAACCTGATATCCATAGATGTCATGAATCCTGCTTTGGTCACCAAACAAACTCAAAAGATTCATCATCCCTCTTATTACAGATGTATTTTCAAGTTTAGAGAATATTACTAACAGAAGAAGATGTGGGAACAATGATGAAAACACTAGTTACAGACGAATTCCTGTAGTTTGACAGTGGACTGTTTTATCATTACGGTTTGCAACAGTGATGGAATCCCCCCCACTTGTGAATAGAATTTCCAGCTCTGGCAGAGAGACTATTGAAATTTTAAGGAAATGTAACTTTTGAGGCCTAAGGAAATCAATTAAATGAGTGCCTTATGGCTGATTCACTCCTAAAAGTAACTTGACTTAGGAAGGATTTGCTGTAAGGAGTTTAGATCCATGAAGACCTTTTTTGGGGATAATTTAAGAGATGGGGTATAAAAAGCAGTACTGTCAGAAGATGTTGTGAGAAATAGGTAATTACTAGTAATATGAAGCTGATACATTTAAGGAAATCAAGAGCAAGAAAGCGAATTTACAATTTGAATGAAACAATGCACCATTGCCTGGCCGACTGAACCTTGCTACCAAAAGTCAAGTAGCTAAGGTGTCTTTATCAGATAACAAAATTAAACTCACCTTGCCACCGTCGTCCTCGTTGATCCTGTAGTGGTAGACGCGGCCCTCGTACCGCAAGCTGATACTCCGCTGGCCCGGACTACTCTCGCTCTCCCGCACCAGGAAGCTGCCATTGATCCCCGAGCTCAGCAGGTACTCGGCCGCATTGCGGGATATAGGCCCGTGGTACCACGAGTGCTTCTCTAAGGAGTTGACGGGCGTCACGTAGTTGGACGGGACCCAGCCCACCTGTCCAGACGACGCATGCGCCTCGCACCACTCTCCCGACTTGTTGTAGCTCAGGATACGAACCTGCTCACCTGCAAAGAAACAAGGATGTCAGGCAATTCGTCATAGTTTGCAGATTATTTAATATAGTGAGATTACAAGAGAATTGTTTTGTTCATGGCCTTTTGTTACTGACTAAGACCATTTGGGTGCAGTCAAAAATCTATTAACCCTTCTCAGTTTTTGACCAGCAACTCGTGATCACTGGGTGAGCTACACCCTTAGGAATATGGGAGTGCCCCTGAACATATATGTTTTACCCCTGGCGTTCAGGGATACTCTAATATTGCTAACGGTATAACAACCATTGGTTTAGTGATAAATAATAACAAACAAGCTATTTCAATATTTAGTGTTCACTATAAGAAAATCCAAAATTATGTCATCGACGAATCTAAGTTGTGATTCATTATTTTCAGATCATCATGTTTAAAAATTATAGTGCAAAATTAATTTGAGCCCTCTCCCTCGTTCTACGACTTGCCAGACGCCCACAATTTTTACACAGAGAATTGCCTTACAAAATTAAATATATATATTAAGCTAATAAAATTCCAAGAGTCCACAAGATTTCAGACGATGGTGATATGTTGCACATTAATGTTTAGATACATCAATTTTTATGGAAGTGAATCACAGTGGTGCAGTGTTGAAAGGTTAGTGACCCGTAGAAGGCCAAGCAAGTGAAAGTGTCGCAAGAGCAAGTGTGTCAGCCGCCCAGACCTGTTACACAGACTCCATAGAGTTATTACTGTATACTCCATGTATACTATAATATATATACTCCATGGAGCTTCTTTCCGTAGGCGTGAAGTGTGAGGATGCAGAACACTACAGAGGTTAAATTTATTTTATAAAGCCATCTACGGTTATAACTTGTACAGGCTATAGGATAGCCCACTTGATATACAGTAAAAACTTGAACAACCTACCTATTGTTAAGTAGTTACATGGAGTAAAGTGTTGAGCTAAAACTGCCAAACATTTAGCCAGAATCCTTATAATAAAAGACAGCTAGCTGGGTCCAGTTTCTTACCGTAAAAAATAAACAATTTTTTTAAAGATTGAATTGGTTTAACCTCTTTGAAGCTTTTGGTTAAAGGTAAGGCAAACGGGTATGCAACTAAAACAAAAATATGAAAAAGGGGTACAGTATAAATTAACATTAATAAATAATTTCAAAGGTGAAGCAACCACCATAAATTTTATTTTAAACTATCCTATCGCCTATGACACCCACAGCAAAGTGCAAGAGTGCATGAAGTGTTAGTGGGGGAACAAGATTCTTTGATCTTTGAAGAGAGGGTCACATTATAGATAGAGTGACCATAGTCAAAGAGTTCAGAGCAGCATCACATCAAGTCAAGTGGTGTCATAGAGCAGATAATGGCATAGCTTGTCATGTGACGACATCGTTACAAAACTCAGAGCTACTGTGTCATACCCTCTTCAAAAAATCTAGTGTGGTACCGTTATGTTACTAATTATGATATTTAATTATCGTATAATTTTATGGGGAGAGATCTCCTACAGAGAGAATATTCTCTTTGCTTAGAGAGATCTATTATTTTTTTTTGTTTCATAGAAAAGTGGTCCTACAGGGCTCTGAACCAACAAAGCATTATCAACCACATAGTTAAATATCATTGAGGGGATTCAAACCTGGGCTTTCAAAACAAGGTTCCGATGCTCTAAACACTAAACCAAGAGTATTTTGCCGCAGTTTGAATGGTAAATTTTTAAAATCAATTAAAAATATTATTTACAAGGCAGATGTGCTGTACAGTATATCTTATTTTCTAAATAGGAAATAAATCTGACAAGTTTAGGGAAATATTAAAGTACAAAGACAATGAGAAAAATGGAAATCCGATTTGTCAGTACGTTTGCTGCGGCATGGGTATTTTTGTTTTTAGACTGATCTACAGCTTACAGTAGCTGCAAAATTATCATTGTTGCAATATTATCATACTAAAAGCCATTAATTTTCAACCAAATTCAACCCCTGGCCAAAGTCCTAACCACTACAAGCACAGTCAGGAAGCAGGGAAGGTTTTGAAAAGTAACAACAAAGCCAAAAACATTCTTTATCACAAAACTGTCCAGGAACAAAGAGAAGTATAAATGTGTCCAAGTATAGCTGGTTGTTGACAAATATCACAAACAAGAAAGTGAGGGGAGGGAGGGTAAACATCATAATTCACACTCTGCATTTCAAGCAAGACTCAACAGACTTTACCCCTGATAAGGGAGATTTTATCAGCTTGTGGAGTAAAATAGAGCTGGGTGATGTTTCAAAATGTATATGGACAAATAATGTTGTAATTTGTATTAACAATTTGAATTTTAAAAACTTTATAGTTTATTGGTAAAACATGGTAATAGGAAGGAAATGTTTGTTGAAATGTTGTAAACAAAAACTGTAACTTATTTACAACGAGAAATTTTGTGTAATATTTTTATGGAAAAATTATTTGTGTTGAGTGTGATCTATGGTAAGAGTGATGTTATGTAATGTCCAAGAGTTATATTATGACGCAAAAACAAAATTAAGTCGGGTTTGTTTTTTTGAAGTTTTTGCCAAAGCATTCAAAACAAAATTAACTCTTAATTTTAATTCTAGTTAGCACCAAGTGTTACAGTGTTAGATGTACGAAATCATTGGGCATAGCAACATAGCCTAACACTCTTAAATTACTTTTGAACATAACAAAACTAGTAAACTGGAATAGCTAATTGATTGACCAATAAGAAAAGTAAATTTGAGATATCGTGGAACAGTGTAAGGGATCTATTAAATAAACCTAAGAGGGTAAGAGTACCTACTATTCACAATCATGTTCTTTTAAACTGTAAGAAGTGGTTACACAATTTCTTCGCCCTACACTTAATTTCTCTTACCTGGAAAAAACTTGGACATAATAATCATTGATCATTTGACCCACAAGAAAAAAGATTCCAAATACTATGAGAAGGAATGGAATTTTTGTATTATGTAATTAAATTGTATGAGCCACATTTTCTTAAGTAAAAAAATCGGGGATTCCAAAATGGTATTGTCCAAACAAACCTTGAAAATTCTAATCTCTAATCGAGTGACCCATAAGAAAGACAATTAAAAATCAGTCTTAATGAATGGATTTTCTTGAAAATTTTTGGAACATCCAATGTTTATAATCTGAATGATGAAATCTTTCTCCTGACCATTCGTCTAACTAGGACTGGCCCTGGTTTTAAACCATTGGCCTGTTCCTAGGAAAGTCTGAAGACAGTTTTCATCATAAAAACTATAATGAGCTGTTTTGCTAGAGTGTACAGAAAAATGTATTGAATGGATTTTTTGTGAGAAAACATGGTTAATTTGTCATCTTTGTGTGAGCCATATTGTCCTAAATACAGGTATTAAGTCGATGGTTCCAGAAATGCTTTGTTTTAGCTTAAAGTTATCTCATACCAATTAAAAAGTGAACATTTTAATTTAAAGTTTTTTGAACTATAGGAAAATACAACCCAAATCAGCTGTTTCCTAGGCTAAATGGCGTAAAAAGAAATAATGAAAAATATTGTAAAACAAAAATGTTGCAACAAGACGTAGACACGGTGCATTCACTTCCGTTGAGTGAGCCATTGTAAGGTATCAGGTGCTTCCAGAACTGCTTTGTCCTACAGTTTGATACGACCTTGCATTGCATCAGCATCAACAATCGTGCAAGACCTTCACTTCACCTTCACGCACGACAAATACACTTCTTATTCTTCTCCACAATAATTACCAAACACCAGGGGAAGTGGGTGTTAAAACACTGCTTCCTCCATCACTGATTGTATTTAAACATCTTTGTTTACTAATTTGTTATTACCTAACGAGTTTTATCAACAATCCTTCTGTGTGCCTAATTACTACCTATTACAGTATTTAATTTTCATTATTTCGTCATTTCATTTCTTAATGAGTTTCAAAAGAGTAGAATTTTTTGCAGATTTAATGGGTTTTATGATAGTTATGCAAAACTTAAGTAAATTTAATTTGATGAACTATTTTGTAGAAAAAAGTAAACACTTATTCAATGCTATGAAATGGCCTTGAAGTTCTCTAGCACAAAAATTGTATTTCTAGCGTAAGAGACCTTCCTTTTTTATGTCCTGGATATATTATTGGAACAGTAGCTGAAAACTATGTTTCAGTTTTTGAAAAAGGTCGCTGATTCCTAATACACATAATTCATACACACGTATTGGCTGTCAACGCTCTTAACCTACTCATGGATGAAGAGAACAAACTTTTAGAACAGCGGCAATTTGCTTATCACCCACTGAATAGTAACAGAGAAGAAAGGTACAGAGGAAACATTTAATAGTCCACTTTAAGTGGCGTCTAGCTATAGCCCTAGTGTCTAAGGCAAAGACCCCCTCCCTCGCCCTCATGTACTACAACACTGACAGTGAAGGAAGACTCTGTACCCTGTGCGATAGGAGTTTCCGCACAGTGCGCAGGCTCTTCTTTGCTCGGCACAACATACTACAGCTGAAAGCGCTCAGTCGGTCTATAAGCAAGTTTCTTATGTACCTTACTTCTATGTTGAATTATTGTACGATCATGTTACGTCAACCACGAGTTGGAAAGCAAAAACCGCACTCCGCACAATCAAGAAAACTGACCCTTCTTAAGACTGAGCTGGTTCTCTCCGCCCGCTTGGAAGTCGTAGAGGGCGACAAAGAGTTGCGGGTCATCCTCCTCCTGGGCCAGCAGGTTCTCCTTGGACGTCCAGCGAGCGGCAGACTCCAGCGGCAGTGGTACAGAGGCGGGGGCCTCCCCATCTGGCAGGTCAGGGATGTGGGGCAGTGGTCGACTCTGCAGCAGCGCCTCTGGAACAACAAAAGGCGATATTAGTCTCAATTGTTTCTGTGGATAAAAAAATTAAAATAAATAAAAGAAGAAACAAAGTATAAGAAATAGTTAATTATCCGAATTGTCATGTGCTTATAATGGTCGCCTTTCTGAAGGTTGTTAATTTTTGTTCCAAGCAAGATGTATTCTGGGCAGAAATTTTATTAAACACTGATCTATCAATTCATGAAACTACACATCTAACAAAAGGTCGACAGAGTTACCAAACCAGGGATTAGACTAATTCCCTGTAAAAAAACACTAAAGAGGTAATGATGACGATAAAACACAAATAAAACTAAATTAGATAAAAAAAATTATGATGTAATTTTTTAACAATAATGTTTTTTTTTTAATTTTTTGTGTAGACAAAATTTATTACGATTTAACAGAGATCATCCATGCCCACAGGTGGAATAACCTTTTCAACATTCTGAACACAAAATAGCATTGTAAAAGAAACTTAGTACAACACATTTTTAAATATCTCCTTGTTTAAGAGTTGTTTTCCAAGTTCAACCCTACACTTGGGGGGAACAATTTTAACATTCATTTTACACAAACGCTGTCTTGTTAACTAAAATAACTGAGAGAAAGAAAGTCTTGTCTCAAGGACGAGGAAGGGGAGAACATAACAATAATGAAGATGAGGGGGAGAGGAGGGGATGTTTAACAAGTTAATGTGGCACAATGAGAATAAGTGGAGTCTAATAACTGGCTGTTGAACAACCAAACTGTCGTTGGCGCAATCACAGCACTTCAACTCACTACTCTCAGATTGTTAGTTGACTCTAGTAAGTTTTTGGGTTACAAACTTTTCTTGTCACTTTGATTTCACACATAACTATATCTGACATAGAATTGTGGGGTTTGTGCCATATAAACTGTAGCTCCTTATTCACTGTTCTCTTTGCCAGGTTCTCTTTTTATGTCAAAGGATCTAAAACTAAAGCAAATGCTTCAGGGAAGCTCTGAACCGTCAAAAAGTGTCAAGTGGTAGTCTCCATTATATCTTCCATATTATCCACACCCTCCCTTCCTCCTGTAAAGCGTTATATTGAGACAATATTACTTTAGCCAATCCTGTCCATCCTCGGAGTATACAAGCCTGGCTTTCTGACTTGTACGTGTGTTTCAAAAAGTCTAAATCCTTATACATACCACTCAACTACCCCTTTCGTCCTGTGGCTGAGTGAACTTAATTATTGTATAGTTTTGGTTTGACAACAGACAAACGTATAAAGGCTTAAGAAGGTTTACAATGGAGAAACGTTAGTTAGAAACATTAGTTTAATGATGTTGAACATAGAATGATTCCCTTGTTGTCTGCCTCTCATTGATCAAACATTATCAAAAATTTTATCAGAACTCGAACAAATCATATGTTTGAAATATGCATCACATGAAGTATGCTAACTACACTATGAACCATAAATAATTTTCTGCGTTTTCTGTAACTGGTGACAGGGCAATTTTGTAGACATGGCATGAAAAAATAATCATAAATCACGTTTGTATTACCTTGCTAAAATTATGTTAAGGATTATACAGTAATTGAGTGTATCTACATTTTGTATTGTGTCGGAAATATTTTATTTTGAACACCAGTTAAAAAAAAAAAACCAACACTTACGTAAAAATCCCACATTCGGAGTAAAAATCCCTATAGTAACAATGCTTACGGTAGTAAGTTAATCAAGGATGGGAATCTTTCTCATATCAGATGAATGCATATAAGCGATTATTGTTTACTCGATGAATGTGACATTAATCATTATCATCTCAATGAATCGAGGTTATCGGTAAAGTACAAATATTAAATTGCACGACAGTTAATTTAATTCTACAACAAAATGTTACTGTACAAAACAGCAACCGACAAAACCACAAAAAAATAAAATACCCACACTAATTACAGCACACAACAACCACACTCAATCTGTGTTCAAACAGGTGTATCGTGTTACTGCGCTACTGTCGTGGTAAAAACAATAACGAATGTGGCAAGAGGAAGAAACACACACGGAGAACACGACGCGCATGAACGTGAAAGAAACTAGAGAAAAAACGTTCCCAGATGAGAGTTTTTGACAATGATGTTGAATGGGGCCAAGCGATGTGAGAAACCCAGGCTTCACAGCGGGAGGTGGCCTTTTTACCGCCACGCCGCCAACACCGTGACTGTGACCAAACATCGTCTGTCAGTCAATGGTCACGTGATCATGCTATCAGTGATCAGCTGTGATCTGACTGGAAAAAGCCGGACATGGGACATCGGACATAGCGCCATGCGATCAGAAAACTTTGGGGCGATTCGCTGCAAGGGAAGACTTGGTTTACAATAGGAAAACGCGAAATGCAGTGAACAAAAGTAATTTCTGTTAATTTTTTTAGGTCAATCCTAAATTATTTGAATAAACCGACACTACTAACTAAAATGAAGACTGTCGCGTATTTTGTGTAGCCTGCGTGTGGCTGATTGAGCTTATATTAAAATAGGATAAGATGATCTGGTATGAAGAAAAGCACTGATTAAGTGTATAAGGTAAGATGATCTGGTATGAAGAAAAGCAAAGCAACAATTAGATTGGCAAAGTATTGTACATAAATAAACTGCCATCATTCACCTGATAATTGTCAAATCTGAATACATTGTGAATATATGTTGGAGTGAGACCAGAGACGATATAATCTGTGTAAGACGAAAAACATTTCAGCGAAAGGACAAGAATCAATCCTGAATCACTTTAAAGGACTGCCATTATTCACTTAACCACTTTATTAGGAAAGCTACGCAATATGCGAATGCATATTATTACTGTAAATAAGAAAATGAAAGCAGGGAGCGAATAATGAAGTGAGATTATCTGGATTATCTGTTTGGACTTGTTGCTGACAAAAATCAACTGTTTCTTTTACCAGGACCATAATTAAAATCACAATGACGAAGGAGATCTTGGTCTAATGTCAAACCCTCACAAGACAATGTATTACTGTAAGCAGATAAAAATTTGTTTGCAGCTTCAATCTTTTTGTTGACTACATATTTTGAGGCGATACATTATGTTGGTCGTGCGTGATTCCATATCTCTAGGATTGTGTTACAATTTGTAGACTACATCGCTGATAAGAAAGATTTATCACAAAGAAACCGATAAGAAAACTATGGCTGGCGAAGTTATCACAATTGAGAAACCGTCAAGAAAATTATGGGTTGCACCGTGATTACAATTGAGAAACTGATAAGAAATCTACGACTTGCAACGTGATCACAATAAAGAAACCGATAAGAAACTATGTTTTGCAACACGGTGAGAAACTGATAAGAAGTCTATGGCTTGCAACGTGATCACAATAATGAAAAACCTATAAGAAAGTATGTTTTACAACACGATGAGAAACTGATAAGAACGCGATAGTCGGCAATATGATCGTTTACAAGTAATGCGGTCACTTTGATCTCAGCTAGTACGCGAGTATCACACAAGATTTATATCCTTCACATCAACAACGTGACAGATCATCTATCTTGCGTACACTCGCTCTCGGCTGGTACAGCGATGGCTGAAGAATGGTTTATGTAAAAACACATGGGGCTGTGGCGCCAAGGCGAACACCATTAAAATAACAATGTTTTATTGTTGATTGATTACGTCTTTAGTCGAAGATTTCATTAACTTTACAGTGTTGAACAATGCAATTGTGATCCACTTTACAGAGTTTTACTCGAAAGATTTTATACATATGAAGGTAATGTGTTTATTAATTAATTGTACAGGCTATAACAAACCTTGCTATTCATATTCTTGACTGCATGAAATTTAGTTCTGGAGATTTCAACACGATATGTTTTAAGATAGTTGAACCGTCGAAAATTAGTAATAACCAATGCAGAGACAGGCTACAAACAAAATGAATAACCTAGCAATTTGTGCGACGAAGTATGAAATTAAAAGTAAACAACACTTTCAAAGTGCTCATCGGCTACAGTTGCGCAATTATTTGAAGTATTAGCTAGTATCATGATTTATTATATCACTGTGGGATAAATCAATGTAGGCTATCACTTATCTTTAAAAAATAATATTTAATTTTGTTTTAACAGCTTTCTGGCAGAGCAAAATAAAAAAACTTTCCATGGTAACTATGAGAATATGACATAGAAACCTTCCCATGCTTATAGAGCACAAATTACTCTGTACGATGATGATAAGTGGCTTATACATTGGATTACATTATTGTTTACTTCAAACTAAACAATCCTGAATCCACTCCCAAACTAGACACATTTATTCAAGGACCCCGTTCACACCGTTGACTCCAAATGAAAAATAATCGACTCAACATTCTTCTTTCACGCCTAATAAAATAGTAGTGTAACCCGAAACGAAAACTAAATTACGTTACAGGAAGAAATCTAGCAGAGCGGTGACAGGTATGTTATAATTACAGTTGACACATGATGGGAAGGAATGTATAATGTATCCCAAACTGGGAACACGGCGCTAAAAGCCGTGGGGATGCGGGAATTGCCTCCGTTGTGTTGAAAATAGCTCCAACACACGCCCAACAACAGCTACAGCTGTAGACCTTGTAAACAATACAGAGTCACGGTAAATACCACGATGATTAGAACAGAAGCTGTATGGATCACAAACCAAACAAATGACGTCACTGGCCGGAATGTCAGATGCTAATAGCCGTAACACCTGGTGTGGACGTTTTTGACAGTTCCATTTAAATGTTAAACAATGTTTACTTTCGATCCAATGACATAATTTGTTTATGTTTATGATCCATAGTTTTTGTTCTAACGTGGTAGGTATATACTGTCCTAGCCAAGGTATTTTTGAGCGTTTTGTAGTTGCCAATCGATTTATACAAACACTGAAACGTCTATGGCAAACTTGCCTGTGTCAAAAGGCGTAATATTATGTAAAACAAAAACGTTGTTGCTTACAGCACCGTCGGTTCCGTT